TTGATTCCAGACGTCTGCGTGCAGTTGGTTTTAACTACAGACCACGAAGCTGTACGAGAAGGCATCCAGACTTGGTGACAAGAGTGGGAAGTGTGCTTGGTGAGCATGTGTGACTAGGTCAAATACACCTCCGGTAATCGACCTGGGTCAGGTTTCTGTCGAACGTTCGTTTTACTGTCACGCCTGTTCTCTGCTTCTGGTGAGAAGAAAATAACAACATGATGAAACTTCAGGATCAATAAATTCAGAGAATTTCTGACAGATTTTCAAGGAAGAATTTGTTAATTTGTTGTCTAATTCGTTGATTGCTAATGAGTTTCTTGGTCTGTCGGTCAGTTGATTCGTTACTACAGTGGATGTCCGTGGATAACACCTCATATTTCGAAATTCAGGAAAAATAGTCACCAAAATTGCTGGCCTCTTGGTATATGCAGAATGGTAAAAATACGATGTCAAATCATTTCCAAACTGATGACTACAGTGCCATGCACTTTACGAATAACACATGCTACAGTTATGTTGACTTAGCCTTATTATTTGTTTGCTTGGAAAACCCGATACCGTGAATGAGTTACTTGCAACTCCGTGTCGAAAGAAGTGTTTTAACAAAGGCGGTTATTATCTGGACAAACCTGTTACTGAAACATACCATTGTCTTTTAATCTTACATCCTATCTCCCATCATCGTATTCATGTGCTTAAATTGTTTATATAACTCTCAACAAGAAGTGATGATTAAATCAACATAAACTGAAATGTATACTTTCATATTTAATCTATGGCAAATTAATAATAAACGTTTAAATGGTCATAAATTCCATAGAATTGAACGGTAGTCGATCTGATCGACTAATCCTTATAGAGTTGTACTATTACAGCAAAGATCATATCAGAACAACCTACTTCATCTCAACTGCGATAACGTTGTGGGAAACCTGTGGCGTAATATTCATATTGAAGAATCCGCTCTTACTAAAGGAGGCCAAGTGCGCAGAACTGCAGACTGGTAAAAGTTATGTCAGTGGGATCAACGAAGGCCCGCTCCTTCGTTCGTTAGTCGTATTTTGGAACCGTAATTTGTGGTTCTTACAGTTTTCCGTACGTTCCACGGACACTAAATAAAAACTATAGAACATAAAGGATAATCTCTAAGTGAAAACAATAATACTTATAAAAAAAAACCAAAGCTCAAACACCGAGATCGCTAGCATTCACTACAAGGATGCTGGATTGACAGCGGATTCGGTCTGGACGCGGTGAAATTAAAGTCGTTGCCCGTGCCGGAAGTCAAACCGCGATTGACAAGCCCCTAGACAGCCCTTTAACTGACAGTCGCATAGATTACTAACCAGGAGCTCACATGAAGAAACACGATATTTCTAAGCTTTCAAGTTTAGCGTTTATTCCATTGACGTAATCTAATCAGGTGTGTAACGAGACATGGCCATAGGCCTTGACAGGCTACTGGACCTAACAGCAGATATCGGATATCGGATATGAGCGTTGTGATGGTCGCGTTTCATGCGGTGTATGTTTCGAAATTCGACAGACTAAGGTTCTTCCTCAGTCTCTGAACTTTCCAAGTAGGTCACAACCTCCTCCTCTCTCGCTTATCCCCAATCGACATTCATAGTCATCCTCTTAATCCCAGTTCCATTCTACGCGACCTCAACATTTGATGGCAAATCTTTCGCTGACACTATTACGAGTCTTTAAATTCTTTCACAATTGAATGACGATAATCGTCTTCAGATTCTTGAGCTATTACACACACGATTATGTTATCTGTCCTGTGAAATAAAAACTTGATAATCCGGGTGAAAGGCAACAGCTTATTTCGAAATAACTGATTAATAAACAATTGATCACTTATTCTGCATAATCCTGCACTGCGATTAGGATCCACACTTTTAGCAAGATTCATGAAACAGAATTACCGCCAAACCTAAGTATAGGCTGTCCCTGAATTAATGTTCCACACATAATTATTAACTCCCAGTCTCCAGCAGAATTAACACTGCCCAATGAGGCAAGTGACAGACTTGAGATTTCAGGTTCTCACGAAGGCGAGTATGAAGATGGCTGTCTTCTGGGATGTTGCACCGTCTCGGCTGGTTAAAGTTCCAGACGTTTCAGAGGCGCTTGCTGCAAAGAGTAAGCTGCTCACGTGTGGCTTACTTATCGCCCTGATTATGGAGGCAGCAAGCACATCTGAAACGTCGGTTAACTTCTACCAGGCAACTGACAACACGGTGAAACATCCCAGAAGAGTCATGTTCGGACCCACAATCAAAAATCCCACGTCTTTCTACATAACATCTACGACGGCCGTGCCTTCGGATTAATTTCCGCCAGTCCGAAAAATCTAATTAGTCTCACATATTGTACAGTACATGTGGGCATATATAGCTGAAAAATGATTGTTTTTCAGCTATCGACCTTTATCGTTTTTCAGCTATCGACCTTTATCGTTTTTCAGCTGTCGACCTTTATCGTTTTTCGTTTCCTTTTCTATGCTAAATAGTTCGCGCTGAACATTGTTATTTTACGCATAGGTCTGACAAGTCAATTACGATTTCTGTTCTTTCAAACAAGATGCTCAGGAAGGTATTTAGACCTAGGAAGGGCGAAATAAGTGGGGAATTTAGAATGTTGCATAACGAGGAGCTGCGTGAATTGTACGGGTCACCTAGCATAGTGAGGATAGTGAAATCTAGGAGGCTCCGATGGACTTATGGACATGTAGCACGCATGTGGGGGGGGGGGACAAGGGCTGCATACAGAATTTTGGTAGGAAATCCTTTTGGAAAACGACAACTAGGCAAACCAAGAATGAGATGGGATGATAACATCAAGATGGATCTTAGGGAGGTGGGCTGTGAGGATGGTAAATGGAGTTGGCTCAGGATCGTGGCCGATGGCAGGCTTTGGTGTTGTCGGTGTTGAACCTGCGGGTTCTGCTACCAGGGAGTTAGTTCCTTCAGTTATATGTCCACATAGAAAACGGTAGATTTGTGACCATATAAGTTGACATGTTCATTTTAAGGTACCTGACCTCCGAAATCCGAATTGTTTCATCCGTCCTTTAGTATCAAATGGGCGTTTAGTAAAAACAAGACGTTTGGTAAAAAGAAGTTTAGTATTGTTTCATTTTAAGATGATTCCACAAACAATTGTAATATATGTGGTGCTCGTGTGTTAATATATTAGCCATTCTGTTTAGTCACAGCTTAATTTATTTCAAAAAGGAAATGATTTGTAAATTATCATGTACACATAATTTTTTTAAATGCGTGCCTGTGTTTTTACGGGACAGGTTAAGGAAAAAAAAAAATTCTCGGAAATAATATACACAATTGGAGAGAGGAATTTGCGTATTAATATTTTTCAAGATGGTGAAATTTGACCAATCATTACGTACAATAAACCACGTGTGTGATATTAAGGGACAGAAGTATGATGAAATGAAATCAGAGAAACCCTAAATGCATACACATTTTGATGAGGAAATCTCTTATGAGGTAGCATTTTCAGAGGTAGAGGAAAATAACATGTAAATGTCAAAATGGAGTTTACAAGAATAATTTATGAGAATGTAAACTCATTAATTAACTTAAGACAGGGTTTCAAGTATGGATTTTGAAGATATAAAATTAAACCTTTGATTTCTGTTCCTGGATACTTTATGGTGCTATTTATGTAACTTCTAAAACACTTCAAAACAGGCAAGAATTCACAGCATATAAAGTATTAAACACACCAATGTGTGAGTTACAAAATATTTGGAATATTTTTTATCTTTTTACAGGATGTATAGCTCAGCGCTATGTTATAGCCATAATGGGTTTTCTAGCAGTGGCAAATGCATATACAATGAGGATATGTTTGTCAACGGCCATAACGGAGATGGTGGTTCACCATAATAGAAATGAATCGGAAACAGATCCTGATGCCTGCCCTTCAAATTCAGTATCAAATAACAAAACTGCACAAGTAAGTACATTACAGTCTCTTGGATAAATAAAGCATGCTCTTTCTAATTTTTAGGTTATGTAGACTTAACACATTATGATAGTTAAAATATAATTTTGTACCTTCATCCTCAAGGATATGACAATATGAGATTTAATAATATTTATTTCATAAATTGATTTCCAACATTAAGCTCATTTAATTATCTCAAGGAAGATGAAAAACAAATTCCTAGGCCCATGACTATGAGGATTTGGAACATTTATCAGCATGTTTACATTGCAACCATTTCTAATCTAATACAGAATGTCACAAGAGGTAAATATTATTCTTAAATTTTATAGTAAGATGATTCCTGATACCAGTAGATAAAACTTCTTTAAATATATATTTGGAGAAAAACAGCTCACAGCACCACAGTTCTACAGACTCACATACAAATGTAACAAAATCCAATTTAGAAGACTAATATATCAAGAACTATATATTTTATGTTTAATGTTGCAATAAAAATACTAAATAGTATTTTTCTTTACAGCACGGGACATTTGACTGGGATGAGGAGACACAAGGATTAATTCTCAGTTCATTCTTTTGGGGTTATGTCATAACCCATCTACCAGGAGGAATGCTAGCAGAAAAGTTTGGAGGCAAATATGCCCTTGGACTAGGCATTCTATGTACTGCTATTTTATCAATACTTACCCCACTGGCAGCCACTCAAGGGGGTGCAGGTTGGCTCATTGCAGTGCGTTTCTTGGAAGGTCTGGGTGAAGTGAGTTTTCTATTTTTCCTCTTTATCTTGGACACGCACACAAACACACGTCTTCCTTTCCATAGAAAAATGGTTGAAAAAAGGCACATAAACTATCAATATTTAAAACTGTATACGAGGTGCGATCAAAAGGTTTCCAGACTGCGCCTATAAAAAACCGTACACTTATCTCAGGTATTAAATTCATCCATCACCCTCGAAGTAGTTCCCCTGGGAGTGAACATAACGATCCCAGCGCCGCTGCCAAGCCTGGAAGCATCCCTGGAAATCTTTCTTTGTCAGCCTGTCAAGCACCATCTGCGATTCTGCCTGAATCTCTTCTATCGTCTCAAATCTCCTTACCTTTAGCTGAATTTTCATCTTTGGAAAGAGGAAGAAGTCACACGGAGCTAAATCCGACGAATAAGGAGGGTGCGGGATGACGGCCATGGTGTTTGAGGCCAAAAACTGCCGAACTTTGAGGGCGGTGTGCGCTGGCGCGTTGTCATGATGCGTCGCATGGGGAGTTCTTCCTTTAGAATCAGCTGACAGGTCCCATAGCCTACCCCAACAATGTCGCACAAGTCGTTGAGGGTACGACGTCGATCTTCGTGAATGGCCTGCCAAATCTTCGTAAAAATGCTAATTCGATGATGCCGGCTGGCACACTGATTCACTATGAATGTAGGCCGCACCCCCTAAAGGCAGAAGCTCGTACTACATCCGGTTCGCCCTCTATTGACACAGTCTGGAAACTTCCGATCGCACCTCGTATGTCACACTTAATAGAGATTAATTAATTGGAAGGCATAACAATTCATGTAACAAAGTTTATAAAAAGGTACATCATAAATGATACTTCAATGAATATTACCTTATGTCAATTATAAACGTATCGAGTCTCTTGGATACTAGTTTAATTTCTCCTCCATGGTTGTTAATAGTACTGGATCAAGTTCTTTTTGGTTCCTCTAAGTGTCCCTGTTCTGTTAATATTTTATAACCATTAAATGTAAATATTAGAATTCTGTTCTGTCCCTTGTTAGATAAACATGAACCCACTCCCAATTCATGTCTGTTCATTTTCTGTAATTGTACATGGTATTATAAAACCTCTGTACAGTTAAATTCAAGGAACTTGGAATTTTTTACTTTTTAAAGCAAAGTTTTCAACCCAGAGCAAGGCAAGTCACACATTAACTTACACTGCAACACACACGGGATCTAAATTTTTCACAAAATTAATTGAAATGTATAAATTTTATTTTGTCCAAAAATGAATGCACATCAATATGTTGTAATTTTCAGAATACAAATCCTTTACTTTGAACTTTTTAAGGTATGATCAAACCTGTATATATCACATACTTTAACATTAACATTCACTATGTAACCTACCCACAAAAATTATGTATGGGTTCCATATTGTTCTTAGAGCAAATAATAGTCATTTCCTTAAACACCAACCAATTAATCCTTGTAACAGGAATGTGTTGTTTTTTCTGTAAAGTAAGAAATAAAATTTTAAATACCATTTGTACAAAATTCAGGCTTAAAAAGGTTAAATTATAACTGTTTCTTTATGTTAAATAGGTTATGACTTTGCACAAAAACATATAAACCTCAACTAACCTCATAAAGCAAAGTCCTTCAGTTGGTCAAGAAATGCTATGGCTTTTATAGTACAGGAAGGCTCATTACCATATTCACTAAAGCCAATCACTGGACCCTTTCATGAGCCAGATAAATCCAGGCCACATCGTCATGCCCTATTTCTTTGATATTAATTTTAATATTATTCTCCTATCTACACAAAGGCCTTCCAAGTGGTCTCTTCTCTTGAAGGTTTTCTGAATATTTTGATGCATTTCTCTGCTGCAGTATTTAAATTCACTATGGTCTGGATGGCAAAGATGCAGAAACAGCGACCACCATCATTTCCAGGCTGACTCTAGGGTCCATTCAGCCTCCTGTCTACAAAATACCTGGGGCTCTTTCCCCAGTTATAAAATAGCCAGAGTGTGTGACTGATCACACATAAATCATGTGCCAAAGTTCAGAATGCAAGGAATTTCATATTTGCACCTCATATATATTGGATTGTAATCTGTTTTCCCTCCCCTCCTGTCTACTTGCTTCACTTAAAGCACACGCACAGTGATAATAGTTTTTTTTTGAGTAATTTAGTATTTTGATGCGATTACAGGGAACAACATTCCCAGCATTGAATTCCATATTAGCACGCTGGGTACCACCCCAGCAGAGAGGAATCCTTGGTTCTTTTGTGTTTTCTGGTGAGTTTTAATTTATGAGAACATATATTTGCTAGGTTGCCCTCAGTGAACTAGTGGTTAGTGTGTTCGTCACTGCACCCACGGTTCGCAGGTACAATCCCGGCCGAGGTTGATGGAGTTTTAAGGGCGATAAAAATCCGTGGCACAACTTCCTTCAGAGGGGAAGAAAAGCCGGTGGTCCCACGTCGTAGATTTACGGCATGTAAAAGAATCTTACGAGCATGATATAAGATGTTTTGTAAGCAAAATTCAGTGGCCATTTTTCACCAAAGTCTCCTGATTTACTGCTAGATGGTCAGTGGGCTGGTCACTTACTACTCACAAATGCACGCTTCAAGGACCAAGAAAGCTCCTAAGTGGGGAGGTCATGGCTCGAAAATAGGCCGAAGCACCATAGATGATTATATATTTGCTAGTTGCACTCATGCATCTTGATAAAAATAGCAGTGGTACATGAAGAAGGAACAGCTTTAATTGAATGTAGAAATATTGACATTACAGTGATAAAATCAAAGTCTTTTCTTTTTCACTTAAAATTCTTTAAGAGACACTTCTAACCTATCATAGATGACAAATTCCATACCCTAACGATGCCTTAATTTACCCCCAAAACATATTCTTAGCCAAATGGAAGAGAGATCACTTATATGATCTAGGTATAGATGGGAGTGAAATATTAAAACTGTTCTTAGAAAAATGGGCTTTTAGCTAGTGCAATGTATTCAACTGGCTCAGTGATTGGCTGCTTTGAACACAGTAATGAACCTCCAGGTTCCATAAAAGATGGAGACTGTACTCCATCGGGTTATTTACTTAAATGCAGACAACATGCATATTATTCAAAATATACTATTATTTATAGTTCACCAATGTGTACAATTGGAAGTTCAGGGTATTAAGGCAAAACATTAGTCACATAGATGTAATTAATGTCTTAGGTTGACATGGTTTTACTCAGTCCCTCCAGGCAAATGCCAGGATAGCACTTTCAATTAGGCCATAACCGCTTCCTTCTACATCTTTATAATTCAAAATTCATTTCCATCCTCTCATTCAAAACCATATAGTCTGAGCTACTGAAAAAGCATCATAATATAAAGTACAGACAAATAAAATATGAGGAGAGTGAATGCCATTAACTGTTGACAGATGGCAGAAATGGTTTACTTCACTGATCTTGCCAAATATCTTATAAATGAGCACCAGAAAGGCCAGTATTTCTAAATGAAATATTTTGAGCATAGAAATAATTCATTATGAGTCACAGTTGATACCCTCTCCTCCAATTTAATATCTGTGACTAAATCAAAAGTGTGCTATATAACTTGAGGTTTGGTAAAACTTCACGGTTCTTGGATTTCTTTTTCAGGTTCTCAAATAGGAACAGTAGTTGGTACTGCCCTCAGTGGAGTCTTGATAGAGTACTCGTCAATTGGATGGCCAAGTGTCTTCTATTTGTTTGGCTCACTGGGTGTGCTCTGGTTCTTTGCATGGATTGCCCTCTGTTACAATGATCCACAGTCTCATCCTTTTATTTCTGATGAGGAAAAAGCATTTCTTGAGCAGAGTATTGGAGGACTAGACAATAAAAAGGTAAGTGTAATGTCATAACATGTTCACACTTCATATACAAATAATAAAATAATGTGGCCAAACAATTATTAAAAAGAGACAGTGTATTGATGTGATTTTTTATTTAAGGTCCAGTGATGACAGCAAAAAAATAATTTATCATGCAATATATTTGTGTCCAATTGCCAGTATTTCAGAAACAACAAAATTTTTAAAATTTTAATCCATTCAAGTGTATTTTGCTGTTCCATGTATTAATTTGATTTGTCCTGCAATTCTAGTTTTGTTTCTTCCTTTCACTCCCATATAAATGTGTTGGTACAGTTAAGCTGTTACAACATTTTTGTTATAGTATATTTCTGGACTTTCGATGATTAAAATTGTGTTGCTAAGACCTGTAACTTTTAAAAAGTTGGAAATTTAACTTCTACATATATCCTATTGTATGGCAGTGAACATTTGAGGTACTTGAGAGTAATAACTTATATTATTTGTTGTTTATCACCATTTTACCTCTTATGATTCCTGCCCATAAAATGCCATTTTGTTTATTTTTCTGTTGAAATTATCATACCATATTAGCATATGATGTATTCAGTTTTAATTAATCCTCTGAATTTGACATTATTACTTGGTAATCTGCAAACAGGATTGTGTTCAAGTATTTCTTACTAGTAAAACATCAGAAGTGAAAAATCTAAGATCTGACTATAAGACTCAGACAAACAGCCTCCATGAAATGGTATTCATCTTTTCTCATATTTTTCAGGATATTCCACCTGTCCCATGGCGGGAAATGGCGAAATCAGTTCCTCTGTGGGGTCTCATATTTGCTCAGATAGGTCATGACTGGGGCTTCTTTACCTTAGTGACTGACTTACCAAAGTACTTCAAAGATGTAATGAGATTCAATATATTTGAGGTGAGTAAATCAGGGCTGACTTCTACTGTGGCTAATGGGTTTTATAACTCAGTAATTACATTGCTATTCTACAATGAAAAAGAATGTATAAACCCCTACAAAGTGTGTTCTCAATAGTTCTTATTCTGAATTCTTAAAGTTAATGCTGTACTCAAAATCGTGGCAGAAATTTTTCTCTCTCGTCATATTTTCTCACCAGTACTTTAATTCCGGTTTATGTGACATTTGCATTTCTGCAACATGCTACTATATATTAAGTGTCTGATATTACATAAATGCTCTATTTTCAAGCCTGTTTTGGCACTTACTGAGTGAAGACTAGCTATGTTTAGATTACTCTAGGTAAAAACTTGTTAAATCATACTAAAAACAAGTTTTATTAGCACTTTTACAACATATCCCGCAATAAAGAGTTAAGTTTTCATTAGGGTCAATTTCTAATAAATAAATCCAAAAGACATAGTATAAATTTTATTTTAAAATGGTTTAAATCCAAGCTGTTTCACAGAATGGATTCCTGACTGCATTGCCATACCTCACAATGTGGATTTTTTCAATGGCATCTGGCTGGCTCTGTGATCATTTGATCACTTGGGGATGTTTATCAACCACAAATGCTCGTAAAATCTTCACTACCATTGGTGGGTAAGATAAATGAGACCTTTGTTCTACATTTATACATTACACATACATATATTTATACAATGTGCACACTTATCAAATGGATTAAAGAATTAAAACAGTAAACACTGTGAAATAATTCAATACTCCATGCAACATATCTTCTCTTCAATGATAAGTGATGTGAGAACTTATAGAGAGCTGACATATATAGTAAATACCAACTACATGAAGCTTTGAAATTTCCATGATAATGAAAATGTTGATTGTGTTCTTCATAAACTAATTCATACCCCATGCATCACATATTCATATCCAAATATTATCAACACTTATGAAATAAAAACAATGCTGTTTACACAAAACACTGTTTGCTCATGTGTTATCTACTACATAATTTAATAAAATGTTGAATAACAAACAGGTCCATATGTGTTAATGCTTGACAGTTAATTGTTGTGGTAGCCAAAAATAGTGTAATTTTACAGATTTTTAAGACTGATTGTAAAACTTCTATTTTTCTGGATATCAGGGTAACATTGGCTTCTGGATGAGTGGTAGCACACCTCCATAGATGCTTGTGTCCCCTCATAGTTTCAGTTACTCAAAAAGAATTACAGAATTCTATATAAAGACAATGCAATAATGAGAAAATTAAGTTTTAAATTGTTTCCTTGCATTCGTTCTTCTCTGTAGATGACATAAAATTTCTGAAGGCAATCTTGTAGTTTTTGCAAGGAACTGATATGTCACAGCCTTTGCATATTTTTAAATTGCTGGTAGAAAAAAACCAGCTTGACAGTACCATAATATTCCATCTCTTTAAAAATTAGGAAAACAATGTTGTAGCATTATTATTATCCAGTATCGTGACAACTATTCACCTACAAATCCCAAAAGACAATCCCTAAAATACTGTACTGGATGTGAAAATATTAAAGAAATAAAATGCAAATATAGCGTGTCATCCGTAGAATACGATAGAAAAACTGTAGTAGTAATTGATATTTGGAATGTTATTTATTACAGCCTCAGTGGGGCCTGGAGTTGGTATCATTGCTGCATCATATGCAGGATGTGACAGAACGGCTGTAGTTTCTCTTATTACACTGGGCACAATGCTCATGGGTTCCTTCTATCCTGGCATGAAAGTCAATGCACTTGATCTTAGTCCAAACTATGCAGGAACGCTCATGGCCATTGTAAATGGTATTGGTGCATTCACTGGAATCATCACTCCATACCTAGTCGGTGTACTAACTCCAGATGTAAGTGCAGCTTACTTATACTTAACGGCATCATCTGTGTCTGAAATGTGGAGAGTCTATAATTCCATACTTTTCATGTCACACTGTCTCTTTTTTCAAGAATAATTCTCATAGCCATTTTAACACATCATAGATGATACAGATTTAATGGACCATAAAATTAAACTGAATTTCTCAAGATATCTATCCTGAACATTAAGCCAGAGAAAGAAAGTCAGAATCAAGAATGCATTCAAGTAAAAGTGCTGGAACATTTCACTTCCAAAATTCCTCATCACATTTTACATTTTTTTAATGATGCATCTAAATGATTAAAAACAAATACATATATTCGAGAATAAGTAAACATCATATTTATATAATTGTTATTTTTAGAATGTTTATTACATTTCCAAGACAATTTTCCTTTTATTTCAAGAAATGTTCTTATATCCTTATACCTTTTAAAACTTTGATATAAACTGAGGTAAATGATACTACCAAAATATTTATGTTCCCATACAATTAACACAAAATACAACTAATTCCATGGAACATGGTACTTCTCGAGAATCTGATTGCTACTGAGTTGGTTAAGAAATTCCCTGTAGTTTATGGAGTCCAAACATGTTCATTCACACATTGCTACATGCTTCAGATATATGCAGCTACATATTCAAAGAAACCTATAAATGGTCTGGCAACCTAACAAAGTCAGGTAGAACACATTTTGAAATATGTTTTAGATGATAATAAAAACTCAGGACTAGTAATCTCACTTGGAAGATGATTTACTCACTGATAGGTTTAGAGTTGACTAATCTGGAATGGTTACTCACAACTGTCAACATGACAAATAATTATGTGATTGTGACCAACACCATGAAAACAAAAAACTTACCAAAATACAAAATTTGATAGTTGCACGGCACATAATAGATTCACTGTCATAACTAGGTTCTCTGACAGGTAACGGCACTTCCTCAGCCAAAGATGTAATAGTTATACCACCATCATTCAGACATCAGAGTCCAGCTGCAACAACATATCTAATGAGTGTCCTCTAATTCAGCAAACATGTCTCTTTACTTGTGTATGTATATAAATGGATATTTGTGCATATGCATTTACGTTTGAAAAACTTAAATTTTAAATTTCTTTAAACAGAGCACAATTCTTCAGTGGAGAGAAATATTCTGGATTGTATTTGGTGTCTTCCTTGCCACAAATGTGCTATTCATCTTTATGGGATCAGGAGAAATTCAGCCTTGGAATAATCCTTTGACAATGGAACAAGGAGTAGACAAGGCTAATGCATCAGAAACAAACCCAAGCTCAGGTAAAGCTACACAAAATATATCATATTAATATGCATACTTTGAAGAAAGGTATATTTATATGAATATGGCATACCTATAAATAAGGCACACACCTTATTCTGAAAAGACAATAAATTAAAGAAAAACAAAGTAGTAATTATAACATAACATACTACCCCATGGTATTATAGTATTTATCATGTACATATTATTGCATCTCGTGATTTTGTACATTGAGCAGAAGCTGCTATATTTAGTAGTTTACAAAAACATTAAATATATACTCATATATGATATGAAAAATTGTTAATATGAGATTTACACAGAGAAATATGGATTACTAAAATGCATCAATAGTGCTAATGATTGTACATAATGGTTAGAATTAAAATCTTAAATAGGTTGTTTGGTTGAAGTCACCAAATCTGTGGAAGCAGAGACTGTTCAAACACATTTATATACACATTCCAGGCCCTTGGATTTAACCCCTATTGACTTTTTGCACAATATGCTCACTATTCCTGTTATAGAACCTACAAAACAGACAAAAATATGCCATTTCCACAGTTTTGCAAAGCATGATTCAGCACACATGAGCAGAAATTGATTTTCATTTACATATTGTCCAAGCAGCTCACTTGGAATTTACATAAATTGTGTAAAACAGTTCCCATATTTAAATGACACCAATTCAAAATGGTTTTGTTTCATGTACATCATCTACAGAATGAATATATACAAATATCTCTGCAAAAGAAAAATTAAAAATTGTGATACTAAAACTCATGTTAACAAAAACTCTCAAATATCTTAACTAAGTTCTTTTATTACTGTTGTAGATATGTTATATTTTTCTCTGTGTACAAGAATTACTATATTATTCATCCATACTCATCTAATTCAAAGTTATGTAAGTTCGGAAATTGAAAAGTGTTGGTAAATATCCTAAAATTCTAAAACCAGTTACTGCCTTGTGTATTTCCAGATGCAGAAAAAATACCTCCTATAAAAATTTGAAGGTATGTTCAACATAAACTATGTAATATAAAAATTCCAGTCAGTCTTAATTTTTCAAGATGGAAGTGTGTTTCCCAAGAAATAAAAAACGTTTTGAATCAACAGTGTTCTTTTGTAAAAACAGCAATGGCATGAATTATTCTCCATCATTATATTCACTGTACATTTTCATAGAATCATGTCATAAAAGCATTTTGTATGTATATAGTAAGTTTTAACGTGTATTTAATTTGTATCAATTATTGTATAACTGAACTAAAAACAAAACTATTACTAGAAAATAAAATTGGAAAATGTTTTTAATTTAATTTCCTTCTAACAGACAGCAAACTATGTACCTACTTAGCAGCTTAACTCACTGGTATAATATATTAATTTCTCTGAAGATGGCTGTCTTCTGGGTTGTAACACCATGAAAACCTCAAATTCTACTTAATAATTTTTCTATTTACATGGTACATGAGTTCCCCAACAAATGAGGAACTAGTTCCATAAGAGGGTTGAAATTCCAAATAATAAACACACATACAAGTGTTCATGTAAGATGTTTATATAGTTGTACCTGTTTTATCTTAATATTTTAGGAAGCACAGTTTCCACTTTTCATTAATTCCACATTGCTTGTTACTGATCTTGTGACCATGTTAAAATTAGAATTAAAATTATGCCTGCTTTCCTTCATATGTTTTATGCAAGCAAAAAATATAAAATAATAATTATAGTTACTGATTCATTCTCTTCATAATTTCAATTAATACAAAACCCCCACTAAATTAAATCTGTCAGTTTTAAATCACCACCATGCATGTAAATGTTAACATAAAAACAATATTTAATTGTAGGTAAATTTTATGCAAATATAGTACGACGCAAATAATTCAACTCGAACATCGTTGCCAAGTACGTGGCACTCCCAGGTTCAAATCCTGGTACACTACCTGAAAACATCACATGAGTACTTCCTTCCATATCCTTTTCCAGTCTTAGGTTAAGATTGCCTACGGGAACGACAGCCATATTGCAAAAACAGAACTCGGCTTGTATCCAGTTATTAGGATGTCGAAGGAGGTATACATTACCCAATACCGTTGTTTGGAGTACTAAGTTTTCATACACATTTTGAACCGGAACTTGATGTTCAGAACAACGATATTTTCATATACAATCGGAAGTAAAATTGCCGCCATATTCATATTAGTTTCCGAAACAACCGATAAATCGCATTAGCTGAGATGTCGAAAATCGAGGACACGACCGCCATATTGCAAAACTCAACTTGTATCCGGTTATTAGGACATCTGAGGAGGTAGAAACCTCCACACTCCGTTGTTTGGAGCATTAATATTTTCATACACACTATGGGAACTATATTGGCAGCCATGACAGTACTTACAAACAAGCCGCCATATTTAGACTAGTTCATGAAACAACCAACAGATGACACAAGACTTCGAACTTCTCTCAACATGAACATGAAAAATTGAAATATTATATCTGGCCATTATGAAGAAATAGGAGGTATATGATTTCTCTACATATTATTTAGAACAAATATTTTCATATCCTCTGCACATAAACGGAACTGGAATAAAGCCGTGACAGTATGGAAACAGACATATTGATAAATGTCACAAATGTGCATGTTTGGTGTAAATAGATTTCTTTTACACTATTATTTTTAATATAATAAAAATACTGAGACTCAAAATGTCTTTGTGTTTTCTGAGTGCATTTTTATAATTATGGGTGAAAATACAGACATTCCAGTACATATATTAGAAATATATTCCCAACAGTTTCAAGAAGTTAATTTCTTTTTGTGAAGTTAAGATACTGTGGACTTCCCATCCAATACCATGAATTGGCTGTCAGAAATCTCCACTGCCGTGAAAATCTGAAATCTCATATTTTGTTTGTATCTTCATGTAAAGCATTCAAATTTTAAGCTTCTGTAACATTAACATTCACAGCAATGTTTGTGTTCATTATGAAGAAAATTTACTAAACCTGAGGTTCCCAGTGTGTGGTCTGCAGACCAACAGTGATCCATGAGTTTCAGTAAGGTGTAATATATGTAAGCATCTTGTTACGTATCTGAATCCACTAGTTTTATTTTCAGTCAGTAAATAAATAGTGAATACAAAAATCATATTGTCAGTTAAAAAAATACAACATTCAATTACATGTTTCAACATGCAGTCATCATATGGTATACTCAAATTATTGAAACTTAAAAAGTAGCTTGAATACAATCAGTTACAATTGTCTTAAGTAGCCACTACAGAATATTCTATAATTAAAAACAGAATTATTAAACTCATTCTTATACCAATATCTAATCACACATGATAAAGACAACTTTCCATATATGCAGAATTGCAATGCTAAAAACAATGTTCTAAGTTTCTGTCAATTAGTTATAATTATGTCCAAGGAAACTGTACTGAGTTTGTGGCAATAGTCCATAGCTGGTTCTGGTCTATTTTATACATTATAGGGCACTTTCATTAAAGGTATAAAGTATTTTCATAACTAGACTATCTCATCATAATTATTATTTAAATTTTTCTGTTATGAAACTTTCGGTGGTAGATTATAACATCCTCATGTTTTTCATGTTCTTTATGCAGCAATACAGATATAAACAAGTAGTGTCAGTTTCAAAAGACATCTAGAGGAAAGAAATATGTTTCTCTCATTTGTATTTTAAAATTAAGCAGCAGAGATATAAAAGTTACATACTGTGTTCCATTGTCATATCATGTATAACTGGTTAGATATTAATAAAAGAATTAGTTTAATAATTAACTTATTTAAAATATTCTAGAATATTTCCAGCAATGATCAGCAATTTCAAGCAGTCTAGAAAGATAACAGAGAGAGGGGGGGGGGGGGGGGGATGTGGGAACCACTGCACCAAACTGTTCACACATTAAGGGAGTGTAAAGAAGGGCCATCTTTTGGGACCTTGGGATATCTAGAACATGCATATCTGCTGAAATTTTGAGATTGAACAGAATATTTCCTCTATACTGCATCAGCCCTATGTGCAGCCTCACCCCAGTATGGCACTTGTGCTCAGACTGAAGTAATCCTGCAAAAGAAGTAAGGAGATGAGAGAATGCTGAGGCAACACAATGCTTAGCATGTCATTACACTGTGTTTTATTTTCGCTTCCTATGAGAATGAGTAACATCAAACTTGATTCCTTTTAAACAATAATCTAGTACGAAGATTGCAGTCTTCAGACTCACCACTGTGAAGACCTCAAATCCTACACAAATGTTAACACCTAGACTGGGTTACAAGTGCAATTCCTGTCACTGCCACAAGAAATGGTAACAAAAATTAACTGTCTGCTTAATAACAACCAATCACTAACAGATGGAACAGATCCAGAACCCAACCCATATATCAATCAGCTCATAACAAAGCAATCATTTACATGTCATCATGTCTGCTTTCCTTAATTTGCTTATAATGTTGCTGGCACCCAGTGTTCTTAACAACTGAATACCAGTACCATGCTCCTTGAACTTGCTGTATATCCAGTATGACAAATGGACATGCATGTTACAAACATTTAAAAATAAATTCTCTGAAATTACTGATACAGAACTCCACTATAATTAAATCTAAGCCAAGAAAAATTTAGCTTCCATGGAACTAAACAATGATTTACACACTGAGTTGAAGCTTACCTGGCAACACACTACTCTATCACACATTCTGCTCCTACTTTACAAAGGGCCTCCTTCAGCTTCTCAGCTTCATCTTTGGGCATATCTGCCTTTACAACTGTTGGAGCACTCTCCACAAACTTCTTTGCCTAAGCAACAAATTCCATCATTCATTAAGATGTGGGTTGTGACAATACAAAGTTTTGTATGTGGTTACCAACATTTTGGAAGACTTCTACCTATAAGATGGAGGTGATAAATTCCTTCAAAAGAATGGTAACCACCTACAAGACTACATGGTGTCACAGCCCAGAAGACCACAATCAACATTTTCACAGCCATGAAAACCTTGCCCCCAATGACATATATTACTCATATTTCTAATAGTAAGAACCAAAACAATATCAATTTGATTTCAAAAATATAATAAAATTCCACAGATATTCATAAAGCAACAGATGTGTTTCTTACCAATTCCAAACATCCAATTTTTGACCAGTCTACATTCAAATACTAATTAAATGCATGTACTTGCCTGAACAAGATTCATTCCCTCCAGCAAATTCTTCACTTCCTTGATAAGAGCAACTTTCTGTTTCTCATCAAACTTAAGTAACTTCACTGTGAAGCTAGTCTGCACCTTCTTTGAAGATACCTCCTCCTCTTCTTCCTAAAAAAATTGACAGCAAATACATGGCAGACTGTTGCATATTTACTGTTAAGTTTGCCTGTTCAGAGATACATATGTTCTTTCCCATGAGCTTATCAAACACCAGATAAATTACACTAGAAGTATCAGACCTTTCAAGTGAGACTTTTGTGTGTCGATTAAACTCTGAATTGGTTCAATCACCTCTGGAGCTGCAGCTGTGAGTACTGGTGAGAAACCACCCACTGGCAGAAGTGGTGTATCAGGCAGATTAAGTTTCTTCTTGAGAAGATCACTCAACTCTCCAACCTCAATCAGGTTCAATTTTGTTATCTCATTCACCAAACTTTCAATCTTGGGAGAGAATTTCTTCTCTTCCCCTTCTGGCTGAGGCACTTGAAGCAGTCCTTCTGTTACAGATGTTAGAGGTGCATAATTAAGCTCTGCACTCTGATCACTCTGTGCCTGTGACTGGGAACTCCGCATCAGTATACAACTGATAAAGTAGAATCAAATATAATCAAAATAAAATTTTATAAAATATTATTAATCTACTCGTATTATAATATCTTTACTGTTAAACATGAATATATTTTCAACAAGTAGACTGTAATATGTTCCCTAAAACTGCATAATATTTTACAATTTTCATAATTCAATATTTGTTTTACAGAGCTTTCTTTACATTTCACTGAATAATAAAGAGACATTTTTGAACATCAGAATTGTTATAGGCAGTACATTAGATTTTCAGTTATCACAGTTTCCACTATATATTTCTCTTTGTCATCAATATCACATGACCACAATAATTGGCTTTAAATTTCTTTGATAATGTTTATGATTAATAATACAGAAAAAACACTCAAGCACTGGATGGAAAGAAGTACAATTTTAAAACAATATATTTCTCTCATGACAGAAGTTCAATTCTCTGAGAAACTGCTTCTATATTATACAAATTTACATTACCTTATTTGAAAGTCAGAAACCTGTAATATTATCTGCAGTAAAATTGATAAGCCTTCATTAAATGTATATAAAACTGTACAGCAAACACAGTTTGGGGAATGGGAAAAAGCTAGGTGTTTTCAACCTGCTCTATAAGTATATGTAATACACTACTTTTATCCATACTTAATTCAAAGTTTGGTTACAGAAAGATCAATATATGGGTCAATAAAAGATTAAATCCCACACTTGGTCCTGAATGGGAAGGATAAATTATGACTGACATGATGTATAGAAGGACCAGCCAAATTTGGAGGTGAAGAAGAACAAATCTAAATGGTTCAACATAAAACATCAGATATCATCAAAACAGACTATGCAGGTGATTTCATAAGATTTGAGGTTTTCACAGCAGTGTGAGTTCCGATTGTGATATTCAGGGTTACTGTGCCATGTATTTTCCTTGGTGTAAGCCAGCATTCTGGAGGAATATGCTGTCTTCATCTTCTGGGATGAAATGTAAATTAGACTAAATGGGCTCACTGTAAAGATCGAATGCAGGCTCTTAATACACTGTAAACCTAATGAAGAGAGACAGAACTGGGAGACATTATCAAATAAAAGTCAGGAACATAAACTTAAGAAATAGAAAAAAGTTATTTACATTCCACAAATCCTTCATAGCACCAAGCCAAGGAAGTGTAACACGACATAATACAAATATAATAATTAATACCAATATAAATATACGAGTAAGCCAAAGACACAGAATGTCACATACACTTAATACAGACATAAATACATCGCCGGCTCCACTGCGCTGCCAAGTGAATGCAATAGGGTAGGCGTTTACTGATATGTTTTTGTAGGATCTTTATTGCTTCTATAATACAGTCGTAACTATTTCGGTCATAAACATGTATTTACATAACCTACATTCATACTGTATGCATCTTACAAAGTTGTATTATTAGGACACTTACCAACTGGAGAAAGCTCTCCATTGCTTGACATTACTCTGGACTAAACTCCTTACAGACTGCATTGTATAGTTAATCAGGAATTTTAATAAACATAACAATTTAATAATACAATTAAGAACTGACTCCTTACAACTCCTAAACTTGCAATATTTTAGGCACTCTAGTGGCTAAATGCAAAACCACGCATCCCGCTTAACTATAGTGCAGCACATGATATGCTATGTTATAATCTGTGCATACCCGGGTCGTGAGCGGATGACCGCGAGTCCTATGCTGGCCTCGCGGATTTTTGAACATATACAAGACGCTTTATATAGCTAATTTTGTAAAGTTCGATTGCTGCATCTCACTGCAATCTACAACTTCTATTTGAAACATTCTTAAATTAGATAAACATTTAATGAAATACAAAAATAAGTAATTTCTGACTCCCTACAAGGTTATCCATCAACTGTGTGAGAGATATCAGCAATGAATGATCATATAAAATCGAAATGAGAGGATATAAAAAACACTTGCTCCACCATGGCATCCCTTCACTCATGCTTTATATTTACCCCTTTTCTTTAACAAAGGTTCTGCTATGCTTCCTTAAAGATAAGGGGATTGCAAAACATTTTCTTGTTATATCTTGACACCTCTGGCTTTCAAAGAACCCACTTACACAATTACTGCGTCAGTCCTGATAAGCACGAGAATTTTGTCATTAATAAAGATAAGCTGATAAGCTTAATCTAGGGTGTGGACAGATATAGACAGAAGAGAGCAGCCATTTCAACTGTTTTGTTATACATACAAAATTACACACGGTTAAAAAACCAAAAAATGGGCATACTGCACAAAAGTATTGTTTACACAGCTATTTCATTAGGTAAGGCTTTGTTTTACAATGTAAATACGGAAAATTTTTAATGTTTGTAATTAAGGAGCAAAATTTATACAAAAGGCAGCTATAAGTAGTGTTTGATTAAACACTTCAATATTTCAGCTATAATAAGTCTTCTCATTGACGAGGTGGATGCACGGAGGAAGATTCTTCAAGGAAGGAAAACCATTACCAGGACATATTACAGTAAGCATTAACTATGATATGTTAACATAAGAGCATAGTTATGCCTGATTATAACAAACATAGAAGAAAAGGAAATAACATTACTCTCTCCCTCTCATATATATGGTTTCTTACAATTATCCAGTGTACTGCAGGAATGTTAACTGCAGTATACTGGTATTCAGGTTCTACATCAGAAGTTGTAACATAAATTTAATTTTCGTCTGTACAGTATATCCCCTACTTTAAAAAAAGTGCAAATCAAATGTATTTTCTCAAAATGGCTTACTGTACAAGAAACTGGTACACACTTTCTAACTTGTTAATATAGTGTTCATTCTATGAAATACACTGTAAAAATTATACCATAACCAAAGCAGAAGAGAAGGGACATAATTTGGAACTTGGATTGTTTGAATTCTCTACAGGTCAAATTACAGTAATTGGAATCAGGAGCTAGAGATCAGCAAAATATCAACTAAATTCAGTGGGTGTATATGCTAGACATGTTGAGCACAGAACTAAACCATGATTAGTTTTCCTTGGACCTAGGTGAAGAAAAATATTAAACTGTATCTAAAATAGGCAATATGTGAGTGTAAACTGCATTCAACTCATACAAGAAAGGTTCAGTGGTACACTGTAATAAACCTTTGGATTCCATATAATGTGAGAAACTTTTTTGACAAGCCTAGGGACTACCTTCTTCCTAAGAACCCTCCTCCAGAAAGATTTATCAGCTGTAACAAATGAACATTCAGATCACAAAGAACACACTTTAAAACTCTGGAGAAAACATTTCCATTTTTTGGCTTTTAAAATAATAATTTTCCAGCTTTCATTCTTCAACAGAGAGATTGAATAAAATCATAAGAAAAGTTTTCCAGTCTTCAAATATTAATATAGAAGCAATAAAAATTACCTAGACTTAATGTACTATAAGTTCATACTGTGAAAATGCTATTAACTGTATATCTTATAATTTGTAATGTATTATTTCAAAGACTTATTTCTCTGAAATTAATTCTCCCCATTTTCATTTAAAGATGAACACTCAGAAATTAATTTTTGTTGGACGCTATATAGTCTTAGCTACTGACACCAACATTACATATACCAATCATTCATAACATGACAGTCAACATATTTCTACATAAAAGAAACTTATATTCCAGAGGCAAATGCCGTGCCAGCATGGGGAATTGTGGTGATTGTGGCTTGCAGTATGATAATTGTTGGTGGGATCCTGTATGCTGTCATGAAGAAGATAATTCTGGGCAGTAGCAGTAGCAGTTCTGGTGGTGCCACAACCTATCATAATGATGATGAAGTATAATGTTACAACAAATCAGACTCATAAGAATATAATTTAAAATGATAGTATGACAAACACATCAAAGCACAAACTAACACTGAAAGTGATTATGTATTAGATGTGTAACATTACAAACTGCCAGTAACCTCTTTCTGTAAGGTGTCAGGACTCAAAATATGTTAAATGATTATTAAATATCCAAAGTGTTTTTATACACATACAAAATAAATCAATGGAGGCAATGTTTAATTCTGCATATATATTTTTTTGACCAATATTATAAAGAGATTTTGAATTTATTTTATTTATTTATCCCAATCTCCCCACCCCCCATAATGCATTATGGGATATGTAAACAAGTGAGTTATTCAGCTATGCAAAAACACCAACTCAGCCACGCAATATAAAATCACAGATACTTCATCATGTTACATAGGATAATGTCTAAGGAGAGGAAACAATAGCATACAACCATATGTTCTACATGCCTGAAACAATTGGGGCAAGCGGAAATTAAGATGGCCACGTTTGAGATGCAGATAAAACAGGAATTCACCCTTAATTACTTGATCACTAACTTATATACTTTTGCAAGCATTTCGTAATTTCAGTTTATCACTATTATATCAAGACGAGTCATAACATAAAGGATGCAACAGAAAAGCCAAGAACCAAATGCACCAACATCTTTCAATAATAGACATTAATTCATGCCCTCTGTGCATTGCATTCCTATTCAAAGAGCAAAATTAAAACAATTTAAAACAGATCAGAAAATGAATTTTTTAATATTATACTCCCTTTATGACAACAATTGTTTTGTGAAATACAATCACATTTTGTGCTTACAGAAGTCACTGAATGAGAGAAGCATTCTATGAAAATAAAGTCAACACTAAGAAAAGGAGGGGCACTGTATCACATTCCCCAATTTGAAAAAAAACACATAAATATCTGCACATTTCTAAAACCATCATTCATTACAACCAAAATAAAACTCAGAAATGTCAGAATGAATTTTTATATGTACGGTTAAAACAGCCACATTGCCTACATCAAAGCATTAGCAACCACTTTCACTTGTGAATATTATCTTCTGTTCTAAAGCATATTTTCCTTCATAGCATACTCATGCAAGCTTTGATCATAGATGTCACACAATTCACATACACGTGGCATTGTATAAACCACTCTCTTATTCAATACTTGAAAATAGTGACAAATAAAACACAGACAAGTGGAAACATTTTATATTTGTTTCTAGAAAGCCTTCACTGAACACTGTCTGCCAAAGTTTATTTTTCAGGTATAAAAGGCAATTGTTTCATGGTATAATTAAGAAATAACAAAGTTCAGTGGTATTGTCAGAAAAAAAGCCCTCAAAGGCAAGCAGACACTTTTCCTCCCTTCCCAGATGGTGAATAAATGTATTCCATGTACTATTGTGTTAAATTACATAATAGTTTGTTTACATCATCATGATCATCATATGCTATAATTTTGGTCGATTTTAAATGAAGTGATGACATACCTGAAAATGTGGACAAACTATCATCTTCACTGTCTCTTCTCTATATTAAAAATTACCTGAAATCTACATATAGGAGTATTATTAGAACTGTGTAAATATATTATTCACACAGCATATCTGCCAACTAAGTTAAAGTTGTGCAATTATAATTATTTGACAAGTGAATGATTCTCAGAATACCTTACACCACCATCTCTAAAAACCAATTTTAACAACTGTACTCAAATACAAGAAAATCACAGTAAGTTACATCATAATAACTTTCTGAAAATTTTCTCAGCAGTTTTTGAATCAATAGGTGCACTGTTATGTGGAGCAGGAAAATCTGGTACAACCCAATACTCTGTGAATAAAATATGATAATACAATAGAGGAACATGTGCTGGTGGAAAAACTGCTATGTTATCAGAAACTTAATCAAGAGGAATAAAAAACAATAATACACAAAACAGTTCCTTACAATTCCATGTAATTGCCAATCCTTGAGAACATTTGCGACAAGTCAATATCAGAGTAAACAAGTTACTGTCAGAACTTCCTTTAAAATTATAAAACAGAACTGTTAGATTTTCCAAGTATTATATGTGTATTCAGCTTACTTTACAACTGCAAATACATACAGTAGAAAAAACTAAATAATCATGAAGTCCTTTTCCACAATCTGAAGACTGCACCCCAAAGTCAGAGTGCACTTGAAATGTTGATAACATCCATATAACTGAATTCTAATGGCTCCATCTAGAATTCTCGTCTATGGTATTTGTCTGGGTCGAAGTATGACGTGACAACCACGCGGTTATTGAACTTCCTGCCTGTCAGTGACTGCTGTGCCTTCTGACAGTCAATAATGGAATTGAACTCCACAAATACCTACAAAAAATAAAAATATATTCAATTCAGTAAATATTTACACATTATTGATGACTCCTGTTAAATCTATCTTTACTTCTGAATGTTAGCTGTTTTGTATGACGAATGTGCCATGAACAGTGTTCATACACATTTCTCACACTGGTATTTTTTCTAAAATCATATATATATATATGAAAACCTACAACTAAAATACAAATATACAGTTTCATTTTCCCATGGTGCTAACCACCATCATATCTACTAAGCAAAGGTCATTAAACAGAAGCTACTAAAATTACCTTTGAATTACTTTTTATTTATTTCTCATATACTGTGTTCCCCTTCTCAAGTTTTGTTACATATCTTAAAGGAAAAACAACCTATTACTTCTGATTAAATTTTCTGATATTCTTCATGCAAATAATGAGGTGGACTACTCTGTGGACCAGCAAAAAATTTTGGCTAGAGGTAATCCTCATATTTAATTAACCTTGTTAATATAATGACCCTAAATAAAAATACCTCATAAATTTTTGGACAATTCATTCCTCTTTACAACATACAAATGTTCAAGTTTTGTATAAAGTATAATTATGTAGGATTTGAGGTTCTCATGGTAGTGAGTCTGAAGATGGCTGTCTTCTGGTTTGTTGCACCATGTAGTCTAGTATAAGTTTACTGACGTTTCAGAGGTCCTTTGCTGCCTTAATTATCAGGACGATAATTATAATGTACATTTTTAAATGCTCCAATCTTTTGCTAAACTCAGATTTAAATTGAAATTCCAAATTATATATTCACTTTCCAAGACTTGCCTCTCGTGAATTTAAGAAGAAAGAAATACAAATGAAAAGAAGGTTTATTCCTCTCTGATTGTCACCTTTCCACATCCAGGCACATCAACACCCTCAATGGGTCGAGGGATTTCAACAGATCGAACCACTCCATATTTGTTGCACTCCTCCTTTATATCCTCCAGGATGTCTTCATACTCATCCTCATCGCGTAGCTCTTCAGGCGTTACCATATTCAGGAGACACAACACCTGCAGGAAAAGTTAACATATTCATTTCTACTTACAAGTTGTCATGGCATATCAGACTAAAAAGAAAATTATAATGAATAATAATATTGTAACAATCATGTATCTTTCTATACACCACCATATGAAATGACTTCATTCTCCACCAGAGCAAAATGGTTAAGAGTTAACATTGTAGGATGGCTTGCTTACCAACTCTCATAACCTAGGTTTATTATGGTTTCATTTTGCCGGGTAAATACACTACACAGCACCTTTAAATAAGCAATAACTCCTTATCAATTCACCATAATGATTATCTTCCCAGCCCATTCAATGGTATATAAACACGGTAGAAAAAATAAGCTAATAAATTGAGAAAAAAAGTCTCTGCGACACACTCATAAATGTACTCAACATACTTCTAATGACATGTGTCCATGTTCTGATATTACCTCTTGAAAGCAATCATGGTTCTTATTCATAATGCTTAACATGAGTTACTTCAAACAAAAAGATTAAAATTACCTTTCTTTTAAAATGGAATCCAAGTAAACACTCACCTCTGTGGCTGGACCAGCACCTCCCACCATTGTGAGACCAGGTACCTGAATCTGAACTGGTGCCTGCTGACCTATCTGGGCATTCTTTGCTCCAACACTTGCTCGTTGCACAATCAGCTTCTTGTCACCCAGCTGCATGCCATTCAAACCTGCAATAGCCTGATCAAACACAATAAACTGTATATATTAATCAATGTACATGACCAGGGAGAAAAAAGTAAAAGGAGGCACCTGAACAATTTTATAAAAACATATCCGTTCAATGGCTACCAAAAACACAAGTGAGAGAAAATGCAGGACAATTCTTTTCTCACCTGATCTGTCATTGTGACATCAGCATACTCGCAGAAGGCGTAGCCCTTGCTGAGACCAGTGGCAGAGTCTTTTACCAAGTTGAAGGCTCGCAGCTGGCCAAATGACATCAGCAGCTCTTTCACCTGTTGGAGAAACAATCTCCCTTTTAGCACTAAAAATAAGCCAGCATTTATACACAAATAGAATGCTACAAAATGAAAATACAAATAAGCATTATGTGGCTATCTATGAATTGCATTATTCCTTCCTTTTTTACTTACACAAATTACGCAGTATTTACTTTTGTATTCTATGTGCTAATTCCATTCTTCACTCATACTAATATGAATGTATAAGGGAAAGAAATAAAAAAATAACAAAAGTATCAAAATGCAATTTATGTAACCTATTCAAATTTGATTCTGGCAATGACATTCTTATTTTTGATCTTATACTTTATTTTCATCCAGTATGGAATGACCTTTTTATGGAACAGAAAACAATCTGTAGCCTTAGAAATTCACAAACCAAGGCACTCATCATCGGCCATCTAACTTCAGCAAAACAGATTCATGGATAGCCCACAGTGAAACAAGCAGATAAATTTTGTAAGTCACATTTTCACAATTTCAATTTGTAACCATCGTCACACTTTAGCCAAGAGCCTAAAAAATTCTGCATGAACAACATATATACAAGATAAAACTCCACAGCACACACAAAAACAATTTAAGTGCACACTTTATAGTTAAAAACATGTAATAAATGTTAAAAATGTGAAGATATGACAACTACAAAAGAATTTTTAGAACAAATCAATCCACTTGACTTACCCAGCTGAAGACAATTTGTCAGGACAAGCAAACCAAAATCCACAAACTTTGTTTTCTGAGACCTGCCTTCCTTCTTGTAACATTAATGTTGTTTCATTCCTTTTAACATACATATTCCCAGTGAACAGTATACTATTACACTTTAGCTACTTATTTCACATTATTTGAGTGCATGTTTCAATGAACAAGGTGGCAGATTATGTAATACAAGAACTAAAGAGAAAGTAAACTGAACCTTGCCTTGGGTACAGGAGTATGTGTGTATACTTCATGAATCAATTTTATTCTTCCACCTGTGACTGGACAACAGCTCATCCAGCCCCATTTTGGAACATTACATACTTGTGTAAGAACCTTCCATTTTTACATTAAGAAATTACATTATGTAGGTAGGCAGAGTATTTGAATACAAAATTAAACATACTGTCCAGTGTGACCTAAATATATACATTCAGACAATGTCTTCAACTGGATTATAAACCATAGCTTATACAATTAGAATGTGCAAATTAAAGCATGACAATACCACTTACCTTGAGTATGGTGATATTAAGGGCCATGGGCCTGAAAGTTCACAGAACAATAGAGAAGAAGCAGTGAGAAAAACTATGCCAACAAAAAAAGTACTTTAGAAACTCATATTTGTTTTATATATTTTATTTCCTAGCAGTAGGATAGTACATACTTGCAGCAAGAAAAATATCCAAATGCACACAGCATTGTCTTTACCACTGCTCTTCATAATCATCCAAACCCATTGTCAATTTTTTACATACCAACTGCAATGGTGGACCCGTATTAAAACTTTGGGCTGGAAACTCATAATGGGCTCCCAAAGCATCAGAGTTTGAGAAAACTTGCCTTGTGTGATCCACAATTGTGTGCGCTTGTGTGTTCAGCTCTCTCTCTGTTATTATCGACAAGCAAAGGATGGGTCTTACTACCCGCGATACCTTAGCTACGACAGAAGGGGGGAGAAAGCAGAGGCACAGATGAGTGAAATTTTCAGACTGATTTCATACTTTTCTCCAGTATTCCTTTTGTTTGCAACACAAATTAAATAGTGCCACAGTGACCAACAGCCATGGGGCGTGCTCCTTCCTGTTATGTATATGTAAATCTCAGCATTTTCCTTTAGACATGCATAAAATAAAGAAAGGAAAAAAATCCTGTAAAAGAGATGTCCCCTGCTTTTACTAAATATAAAAAATACTGATAAATATATATACTTTGAAGATCTGAAATATTTCACAAATTCTGAAAACAAAGAATGCTACCATGGGGAATTTATTTTGATGGAAATATTAGCTGCCTTCAGTTGCACTGAAATGAGAAGTTCTGAAAAGAAAACATTCCCCAGTCTAATTTTTGCTTGCCTGAACCTGGAAAGGTTTTGTAACATTGCACAAATCAAATTGAGAGTATTAGTTTGCCTGAAAATGAAATATGTCTGACCTCTGCTGATCATCTTGCCTTGGCATTGCATGGTATGCCCACTTCACCTAGAAAAACCTGCAACAGAATGAGTGCTGTGTTGCATACCAGACCCAAAACTGTAACGAGAAAGGCAAAGAACCAACAAACACCTAAAGCAGAAGGACTGATCCAAACAATGACACACACTTACGCATTAAAAGGAGACAGTTCCTGTAATGCAACCACACAAGTAGTCAGAATATGGCAATCTTGGACAGAAAATGTTGTCATCAACAGCATAAAATTCCATATGTTCTGAAGATATGCACGTATTGCTGAATATGACTAATTAAATGCTGGAACAAGATGTCCAAGCACGAAGACAAAGACATACATAAAAATATGCATAAAGTACAGCAAATACATCTCGTATGCACCAGTGGAGATAGGAGGAAGACAAAATGTGTGTTAAGAAAGAAAACATATCCATGTTGGGCTTAAGGTTTCAATGACAATGTGAGCTTAGTTGCAGCCTTCTGGATTGTGCCACATAAGTCTTGAGGTTTTATATTAACATTTTAGAGTTATTTTGCCTCAATCTTCAACACTGGATGAACTTCTGAAGATGGACACAGCATATTCCTCTGTAATGTTGGTATATAACCATCACAAGACAACACTGTGCAATAACCTAAAAGACCACAAAAAATTATGAAGATGAAATGGCAGCAATGACTGAAGAAGTGTTTTTGTTGTTTTATATCAAGCAGACCTGAACATGGATCAAGATTCAGGCTAAAGCAGAAAGCCACATATTTTTACCACCTACAGTAACCCTCTAATGGAACCTATCCTAAGTCAGGTAACTCCAGTCCACAACCCCCCACAATATTCCTTTAAAATCTATGTCAGTAGTCCTCCCCCATCATCTCCACTTAAGTGCCATCAAAACCATTAGGTCAAAGAAACACAGTACAACTGACCTGTAATTTCTACCTATGTAAAGAAGCCCAATGGATGAGATTTTCAATCCAAGTGCTAAACATTCTACAGAAGAATGAAAAGCAAACCAAGTTTCATTTTCATGATAAGATTGGAGTCTGATACACTAATGTGAAAAACTGAAAAGGCAATTACTGAACTTCAATAGACTGTTTGGACACACAAATGTTTGATGCAGATTAAACAACTTATGGATGACCCAACCTAAGTGATTAATGGTTTACTGCCAAATAAATTTGATTTTACAGTGGCAGTTCTGGAAAATATGAATGGACTCAGATCACAATATTCTCTATCTTAAAATGTACCACACTTTGTTTCAAGTAACTCTAGCAAAATTAGTATTCATGAGTTTTTATGTGTACAAATGAAACAATGTTCGCTACCACTCTGACAGTCAAGATAAGAGAAACCACAAAAGTAATACATTGTTCAATGTAATGGGTTTATGTAAAGTCCTAATAGCAGCAAAGAATAACATAAGAAGAATTACAGCATCCATATGAGAGAACCAAACCTAGTACTTCCGATTGTTTCTACAGTTTTACATCTAAAACTGTGCTGAGAGACATTTAAGGTAATATAATATTTATGAACAGTAAGAAAGGAAAATGTCAAGTGAAGTCGGTGAAGAAAAAGTGAAAGATCTCATGTTTAGTAGATCTCAGACTAGAAGAATCTTCTGAGTACAAAGTGGACACGCATTTAAAGATTTATAGTGCTCTGAACTGTAGTTTCGGAGCAAAACTTGCAAAGAAAATCCTAATAATTTTCACCTCGTTGCAACCAATCCCATAATGTAACTGATCAGTGGGAGCTGTACTTAGCTATGAGATAAATATGTACCATTTCAGCACAATCTACTTGAAAATTATAAAACTGTGTTATGTATCCTTATAAAGACAAGGGATGATCAGTACAATGGTTTTCAAATAAATGGACCCAACTCACCACGGCAACAAAGCAACAACTGATTCAAATGCTGCAGGAATATGAAACTGAATGATTTCAAACAGCTGAGACATTAAAACACAGACTGAACACAAAAAATAACCAAATATGAATGGTCCCAAAATAAATATGGTAGCTGCCTCTCAGTTTTCTCATGTCCCCATCCTTCAGCAACGCCAGTAGCTCTATACAATGAAGAAACAAAATCGCGCCTAAAAGAAAAAGTAATGTACTTACCTCTCAACATTCATGCTTGAGACAGTGGGCACTTTCCTTACATAGCAGTTTCAAAGTACAGATAGAATACATAAAACTATGGCTCAATACTGTCACATACTAACTGCCTTAACGACTGACTCAACTGCACGAGTTTTTGGGCAAGTTATATTAACTTCAATATAAAACTGATTACAAAAATATTCAGCTTTCTTTCATCTTCACCTATTCAATACGTTATGAGTATGTAGAATGTAAAACTGTGAACCTTACTTAGTACTGTAGTGCGTTTAGAGGTGCTTTAACATGGTTATTCATGCCTATTCTGAACTTTAAAGGATAAGTATAAAAGAACAGCCATAAAAATTCAAAGACACAATAAAGCACTGCTGAATACTGACTGGTGGTAGAGGACTACATGTACCTAATGAACTGCAACACTGTGCCCTGCCAGAATGATCACGATTAGGTCTGGTGATGACTGTGTTCCATAAGTGATACCTATACAAATAACAGATACATTTCATAATGATATGTAAATATGTGCCGTCACAGTGGCCGCGCGGTCTGAGGCGTGGGCCTTGTGCCGCTTGGACACTGACAATTTGTTTGAATTCCACTCAAGGCATGGATGTTTGTCCGCGTTTATCTGTGTTGTGCTGTCCTGTGTACAGGTAGAGGCCTTGTGACGGGCCAATCACTCGTCCAAGGAGTCCTACCAACTGTCTAATAGATCAAAGCCAACGAAAGTTGGGACCCGCAGATGCTCAAGGCACTGAATGGGTCGCCTAAGTATCCTATGTAAGTATGTAAATATGTTACTGTTCCTGAAATTGTAAAACTGGGCTTATATTTCACAAAGTAAATAAATTTACGTGTATCATGTCAAAGTCAGTATTTCATTTAAAATATCATAAATGGAGACACTGTTATATTTGACAGCTGAGTACTTCCTGGTAAGAAACCAATCTGTTAACTGTAGTACTCTCCATCAAGATACCAACCAGATGTCTGAGAACACCTGAAACATAGTTTTAATCTGAATGAAGTGAGATGTCAGTCTCAATGAATTTGCAAAGCACTGAGCCATGTTTTTAACTATACCTTAACACTACTCCATGCACTCATAAGAAGTATTGCTATGTTATGAGTTTTAAGGCAACCTCAACTATAGTTCTTTTCAGACATGACCTTAGTAATGTCATTCTCAATAATTTGTAAATAAATTCTAGTTAAAAATAAATATTAAGAACTCCCACTGTCCCAAGCTGCAGCTCTCCTGTCTTCTTCATCAGTGGTCAGTATGTGAATTAAACACACAGAATGACCAACCAATCAAGGGAGATGTGGTAGCCCTGTCTTGCCATTACCTAAAAAACCTGTTGGGTCAATTACAGAAAATGCAATGGCCAAATCAGCATGCCATTGCTTTGCACAAACCCTACATAAATTCCAGTGTTCATGTGGCAAAGTCAAGTAAGACAAATTAAGAGAAGAAAACAGATTCAGTCTTGCTGGTACGTTAATGGGGTATTTAATAGCTCTGCTTCAAAGCATATGTCACCAATTTACAAAATACCACATCAGAGATAAATTTTCCATACATCCAACAAGGCTGAATGTTGTTCCTACCAATCAATATTTTATCACATATTGTTTTTCTTTATAATAATCATTCATGCACATAATCTATATAAATATTAAAGCACTATGTAAATGATACACTGGTTTGAAAAATAAAACAATCAGGTTCTGTCTAGAATAGAGATGGGTTATATAGAAGACATTTACAGGAGAAGAAAACAATATTTTCGTGATACTTGAACTAAGCAAATTCAAAACATGTCATTTGCATTGCTTCTCTATTCTTATGCAAAATGTATTAGACAAACTTCTCAGTTGGACATGTTTAATGCCCGCTGTCTGTGGAAATATCTTGATTACCATGGCCAACTTAAACCTTTAGAAGCAAGTTTTCTAATACAGAGTTTTCATAAGTCATACATGTTAAGAGTGACATTTTTTTATCAAGGGGCTTACTGGAGAGTCTGGCAAAAAGTGCAAAATTTATGGAAGAAAAAATCCACATTCACGTTGAAGCTAAAGTTATGCCATACACAGAATGACCAAGGCTAAACAAATGAAAGCAAACCGAAGCTTCATTTAAATCAGAAACTAATCTATCTTAAAATTATCAAACTTTGATCAAACGTAACCAACAGAACCAGAGGGAAATATTCCTGAAAAATTTATCTTAACTGCACCAGATACATTCAAAAGCAAAACATAAACTTACATCTATGGAAAGTACTGAACATGACCATAGGCACTGAATGTTGAACACTAACAGAGAAGTTCAGCTTCCCAATCAATCTACACTGGCTAAAACATCCCTTCTAACTAAGCTACCAGAAGTGTCATCACCATTGTCTGCAACATTTTAAGAACTCTGTAAACCATTTCCAAATGCTGTGTAAGACTAAACCTTACTGCTTTAATTGGACTCACGATAGCATTCCTACACATTTCATTACGTTGCTAGGATACAAAGCTGCATTTTCACAGGTTTTCTTAATGGTTTAGTTTGCTCCTCTCTTTTACCATTCACCTACGATATACATCCTAATAACATCACATGAAAAATAAGTTAATTTACATTCATTCAAATGAACTGCAGGCCAAGTGTCTGCATTGTCAAAGGCTACTTTATTCATCATCTTAAACTTGCCCATACCGAACACCCAGATGCAGACAAGATAGAAAACATTATGCAGAAGTCCAGAAACTTCTTATCTGCCAAGTATTTATTGTTATGTTCTGTAATGATTTAGTCTTGAAATCAGAATCAGAATCAGGCTGCACAGAGCGTTCAGACAATGGTTCAAACCTGTTACATGACGCAATGCTGATATGGCAGCATGGGCTCACCTGGTCCTCGTTGAGGTAGTTTGGTAGGCCACCAATGAAGATCTTGTGCGGTGAGTCAGGGACTACCGTGCTGATCACGCCTGCTAAGCAGTAAACAAGACAACCGCTTAGTGGCAAAGGACCGTCTAAAAACTGAACGGTTCAAAATATAACAGCAAAAATAAAAGTGCCTATCAGATTCTTTTCTAAGGGAAATATATGAAATTAAAACAGAATGATACTAAAAGTAGAAATTACAAGAAAGTTTTTCAAATGTACTTCTTAAAGTTACAAAAGAACTTCTAAGATATTTATGTTTAAATACATTACATAATTCCACATCATCAGACACAAGCTTTTTACAAAGTTCAAAATTATAGTTACACCAAAACAAGCTATTTCAAGACCAGGTTGTATTGTTAACTAAATCTCAAGACTTTTTTGGGCTGGCTACAGAATAAAGCAATAATGAACCATAACTTACACATACCAGGAACATTCACTGATGGGTTTTCTGACATTCCTGGCATGGGTTGATAATCATGGGGCCTTCTGATTTTTAAACTCTGTCCTTTGAAGTTGATACCATCGAATGCCATTGCTTGTGTTGTTTCATCTATTGAACGAAACTGAAAGAGCAAACCAGCAAGTTATATTAAACAGGAAAAGAAATACGGCCACAAGTTTCACAGATGCGTTCGACTACTATAACCTATATTTAAGTGAAATTAAAAAGAAACACAAAATGTTAAAACAGCCCAGTATTGTTTATTAATCAAGACATCTCTCTTCACAAAAAGTTATTTCTGGAAATTTTGAATACTATCAAGAATGATGTACTCTCTAAGTAGCTCCTTACAATGATGACCAACAAACTTGGTCTCCTAATATTTGCTACTGTATGTTTATTTTCAGAATAAAATGATACCAAATGATACTACTATCACAGGTGAAGGATTCCATCTTTAATAATAATAATAAAGCACCAAAAGGGGAAAATGCCAAAATATAACCACGCATAAATATATTATTTTACCCATTCCCAAAAGTTTCTTAAAAAAATCAGAGATATGGACATGCATGCACATACAAGGATTTACTCCTGTTAAAACAATAATACATACCTCTAAGAAAGCAAAGTTCTTGTCAAGATTAATCTGGCAAGCCAACACAGGATTGCCAGCAGCCTGAGCTAAACCAGAAAGATGCATTTGTTGGTTGAAAAATTCCATCATTTCTTCCTGTAAGAAATACATTTTGATGGCAACATTTGTATCTCGAAAATAACAGATTTCATAATGAAAACAAATACCATCATGTCACACATGTAAATCAGTGTATCACAACTTTTTTGGAACCAGTAAATACACAGGTTATGCTGTGTAGAAACTTCTATGTCGTTTGACAAATTACTTTAATTTATAACATAATAACATGTTCAGAAATGTTCATATATTGCACAATATTTTGCCTGTATTATGTACTGAGCATTTCAATAAAGGTAAGGAATAAGCTCATGATTTTTGTATTTCCTGCATTTACACAATTCATCAATCTACTGAGAAGCATAAACATAAATGTAAGATTTGAGGTTTTCACAGCAGTGAGTATGAAGATTTCTGTCTTCTGGGTTGTTGCACTGTGTAGACTGGTCGATGTTAACAACCCAGAAGACAGAAATCTTCATAAACATAAATTTTCACTATGTAAACATTTTGGATTAACAAATTTCTTAAGGCAGCATGATAGAACTATAATAATTATGGTAAAATGTAAAATGATTTTTCTATCTTACCTCTGTTACTCCAAAGGGGATGTTGCCAACATACAGTCTTCGAGCTTGCCTGGTTATTGTGGAGCCAACCACCGGAACAGCAGCTTGAGGAGTGTCAGCAACAATGTTTGCCGGTATCTGACCAGCAGCTAAAAGATTGTAATTCATTACATTTTCATTCACCCAAAGTTGTTGTATTTTATGACATAATACAGTTGAAGATAATCAATATAAACATAAAGCAATAAGCAGATTGAGCAAAGATAACAATGGTGCCTTTGTATACCTTGCATGGCTTTATACTGCAGAGGAGTGATGTGCTCAAACCCTGGTGGAGGTACGTCCCAATATAATGATGGTTTTCTTCGCCTGGAACGTTTGTCCTTTTTACCTGGCGAACTGTAAATCAAGAGGTCAAATGTGTTCAAATTCTTAACAATTTCGGTCCACTTATCTGCTACAAACACAAGAAAAATGTTGATTATGTATATTCACTTATTTGTTTCCAAGCAATGACCACAAAATAACCCTTCACCTTAGTCTTTCTCTCACCCCTGCTTCAACTGCATTTATTTTCAATGTGGTCTGACAGTGCCACAGCAATCTGTGGTCTTGTGTAAATCATCACATAAGTCAGGAAAGAAGACATTATCCATATACAGTTTATGCCCCAAATTTTCGAACCCTGCAGTAACTCTTGTTAAAATGGCATGAGTTATGGTCATTGTGGTAGTTGCAAATTTCTTATCTTTGCCTACAACACACTGCCATGTAAAATATTCTTTTGATTCACACAATTTGCAGATTTTTGTCCCAAAGTATTTGTGTCTCTTTGGCAAAAACTGCTGTAACTGTCAAATGTTCCATCAGGCTGTAATATTCAGTATACGTACATCATATTCCACGGATCCATAAGTTAGTCAGGTGACAAAGAAAGATAGTTCTCATTTTCCACAATGTCTTAACTTTCAACTGTCAACCTTACTCTCGTGAATTGGAAAATAAATTATAGTAACAGTTTTCAATTGAAAAAGTATACAAATATTGATTCTTAAAGAAAAAATCATGTTAAGATAACATGTCATATAACTTCAACAGAATTAACATACCCAGATCTGCTTCTTTTTTCCCTTCGTCTCTCTCGACTGCGTGATCTTGACCTTTTATCACGGCTACGCGATCGTGATCTTTTTCTGTGCTCACGTGATCGAGATCTGCGTCGGCGGTCTTTATCTCGGTCACGATCCTTTTCCCTGTCACGGTCTAAAACATTGAAAGCATGCATTGTCTGTCCTCACTAAAGTAACATGACAATTACTCTCACACATTTTTAAGTGGAACCACTGTAAACAAACAGGAGAGCACCAACTGGACTAACATGACTCAAAAGTTACATCTCTCAAGCCATGTAAAACATTTGTGCCACAAACAAGAGTGGAACATTTCTCACTCTTTTTTTTTTTTTGTTATTTCAGGTTTCAGTATAATTTGACATGTCTTCTAATTTATTATAACCACTCTGCCACTTACAGCATAATTATTTAACAATGAAAGATGACACTGACTATAATATACTTATATTCCATGTCTTGATAGAAACAGTTATTTGTATATATATTAGTGCACAGCACAGCAAGAAAACTGCTCAGGATTGGGCACAGGAGGAAAGGAATATAGTTACTAATGTCAATCCCAAAACCACACCAGCACCCAAACATTATATACATCTCCATGGTCCTGGTTCAAATGAAAGCAATCAAATGTTATACAAAACATTTCAGGCTTTCTTGGGCCGTTTTTTTCACAACAAAAAAGTTATTCTCATGCTCATCTCACTGGCTTGATTTTTTCAGGGATTTTCATAGATGCCCCCAGAAACAGTTAAAGGTAACGCCTTACAAACATCTAAACCCTTTTGCAGTCCTATGTTGGACTGAGTCCGCCATGTATTTTACACACTTTTTATGTGATCTGGAGTCAAACTGAGGCTGGCAAACAGTGTCAGCATATCATTCAAGCCTTCTTTTTCGCACTAGTTCTATCTTAGTTTTCCTGGTAAGACTTTGTGAACCTTGTAACAGTGAAAGGAGGCAGGAGAGAAAAGTCATCTTATTCTGACATGTGTCCAAAGAAGCCAGGATTCCACATCGGGTGTTTAGATATCATATTTACTTAGAATAGAAGTATTTTATATCTGATAAAGTTATAAAACAAATATCAAATCTTCCTAGTAGGAAATTCTATTTTTTTAATTATTTTTGATGCATTGAGCAATCCACCAGTGACATATGCATATTCATTCGTCTTCTTATCAGGCATTCTTTGTGTGTAGTGACGTCATCGTTTACACTTCGCGTTCAGTTTCACTCTCATGGTGTTGAACTTGGTCTTGATCTTTCGAACACAATCAGCCCGAAAGGAAGCATAGCTCTGAGAATATGAAATCCAATGCTTATACATTGTATATCTGCATGCAATAATAGATGTTTAGATGTCGCCAAAGTCATATCTACCGACTTGGACTTGCTTTATTCTCTACCGAACGAGAGCAAGCAGAATGGCACCAGTTATTACACATCTCACTAGTGACAGAGGTACAGTCCGTGAAAACTACTTTACACGGTCAATATTCAAACAAAAAGAACTGTGATCCTCTCAGAACATATTTTCACCATATTTAGCAAAGTTTCTTCTGTTTTATGCAAGTTATAAAGAAAATCAAACCAGTTCATAATTGTCGTTGAATTTATATAGATTAGTGATATTTAAACAGACCTGCAGAGAGCCATAGTGATACTTAAAGGGGACTGCAAAGGGTTAAGAGCATTGTTAAATAATTAATTCATGGATTAGTAGCATGTATGCATCAGAAGAAGCATGTGTATTATAGTCATGGCTACCTGAAAATGTAAACAGATTAGGCATCACTTGGGTTGGAATAAATTGAGGTCAGGCTTAGGTGGAGTACATGTAACATACTTGAAGATAAACTTCGGGCTTGAGCTAATGCTCTTCGGACCAGAATTATAAATTTTCGGCTCGTATAGACCTCTGGTACCTTATCAGCGCTACCAGGCCAGTGCAGACCACTACCACATACAATCCAAAAGACGCCGGCCACTGGTCGGCGTATACCAATACGGAAAGGATGTAAGAATTCCGTATATAACCATAGTGCTCCCGGATAAACTAAATTATAAGTTCTCTATATGGTCATTCCTTACACAAAAACTTAAAAAAGCTTGCTTTCTTATGCATTACATTGTGGGCTTAAATGGTTTCTGGGAAATTAAATGTTACTTTTGTAATCTTCACGCGGGGTTTGGCTTTTCCAAGCTACAAACTCAATACACTACAGCAAGTACAAATATTCATAAGACATTTAAGGTAAGGAAACGTACGAAAATGTTATAGTTTATAATTCCTAATACGATGCATTATAATCAGCTGGGCGTTTAATTTCTAGGGACTTCAAGAAAGCCGCAGCCATTTTATTTCTGAACATTATTCAGGTTACCTATACTACTTATACTTACCGCCTTTATTTTCTTCACCCATTTTAATATTACGATCCAAATTAAACAGACAGCTTTATTCAAGACCCTTATATTTTAGATAATGAAATCGATCATATATTAGCAACCAATATTATATATAAAAGATACAGCGTCCCTACTTCGCAGCACAAGACTATGACGTCAACAACCTTCGGTACACAACATACAGCACAGATTAAAAATAGCAACGCGCGACGAACTGTACTGTCATCTTACGAAGAACAATGGAAATTCGACCTACGACGGTAGCTCAATCAGTAATAACATGACACACTCTCTCTCTTCACCAAACTGTATAAAAAGTGTACAATTTAGGTGATCTGTGGCTTATATTGACGTGACCCCCAGTACTGGACATGTATTCTTCTGGAACAACAAGAAAATCGTTTACCCACGTGTAATACACCTCCAACTATTGTTCTATATGAAGATTAAATTCATATGACGTACACCGTCACGGATTACAATCGCACAAATAAGTATTTAAAGTACTATAGAGCACTCTGCTGGCAATAGTACGCATTGTACTTACTCGAACAAATTATTGGATTCTCCAAACCTCACAATAACAGTACAATTGAGGTTCTCATTCACAGATTTAATTTGCAGTCTTGAAACGTAGTGCCCATTTAATTTCTGCTACACTTTTGACGCCGGGCGATAGTTCGCCCCACAAATTTTGTATGCGGTTATGTAGGTACATGTATGTGTGATTTTGCGTTTCCGTTGATACAGCGAGACGTGTGTCGAGTTTAGGCTACGTATAATGGACTTCGCGGAATAGACTGACGTTTGAGTTTAGGTATGGATCGAACTAAAACGCTAGAAGACAATCTAAGGGAAGCATCCTGTATTGGAGACATTGAAGGAGTAGAAGAATTATTAAAGAAAGGGACTAATGTTAATGCCAAGCATGATATTAATGGATGGTGAGAGACGTATCTTAAGCTTATAGTTAATTGTAATTAATTCTATAAGATAAATTATTCGCGGCAATAATTCCATGCATCGTACAATGTTGTTCATTATGTATATTGGTAATCCTAGTATATTACTTATGACAACTCCACATAGGATTGTTTTAAACCTGTTGCAGCATCTGAAATAATTTTGCTGTAAATATGTTATTTCCAAGTAGAATTTCAAGTCTCCTTGTAACAAGTTCCATTCAAGGGATGGATGACTTTTGTAAAGTGTGTTTAATCTTCCCGCGTTCAGTTTCACTCTCATGGTGTTGAACTTGGTCTTGATCTTTCGAACACAATCAGCCCGAAAGGAAGCATAGCTCTGAGAATATGAAATCCAATGCTTATACATTGTATATCTGCATGCAATAATAGATGTTTAGATGTCGCCAAAGTCATATCTACCGACTTGGACTTGCTTTATTCTCTACCGAACGAGAGCAAGCAGAATGGCACCAGTTATTACACATCTCACTAGTGACAGAGGTACAGTCCGTGAAAACTACTTTACACGGTCAATATTCAAACAAAAAGAACTGTGATCCTCTCAGAACATATTTTCACCATATTTAGCAAAGTTTCTTCTGTTTTATGCAAGTTATAAAGAAAATCAAACCAGTTCATAATTGTCGTTGAATTTATATAGATTAGTGATATTTAAACAGACCTGCAGAGAGCCATAGTGATACTTAAAGGGGACTGCAAAGGGTTAAGAGCATTGTTAAATAATTAATTCATGGATTAGTAGCATGTATGCATCAGAAGAAGCATGTGTATTATAGTCATGGCTACCTGAAAATGTAAACAGATTAGGCATCACTTGGGTTGGAATAAATTGAGGTCAGGCTTAGGTGGAGTACATGTAACATACTTGAAGATAAACTTCGGGCTTGAGCTAATGCTCTTCGGACCAGAATTATAAATTTTCGGCTCGTATAGACCTCTGGTACCTTATCAGCGCTACCAGGCCAGTGCAGACCACTACCACATACAATCCAAAAGACGCCGGCCACTGGTCGGCGTATACCAATACGGAAAGGATGTAAGAATTCCGTATATAACCATAGTGCTCCCGGATAAACTAAATTATAAGTTCTCTATATGGTCATTCCTTACACAAAAACTTAAAAAAGCTTGCTTTCTTATGCATTACATTGTGGGCTTAAATGGTTTCTGGGAAATTAAATGTTACTTTTGTAATCTTCACGCGGGGTTTGGCTTTTCCAAGCTACAAACTCAATACACTACAGCAAGTACAAATATTCATAAGACATTTAAGGTAAGGAAACGTACGAAAATGTTATAGTTTATAATTCCTAATACGATGCATTATAATCAGCTGGGCGTTTAATTTCTAGGGACTTCAAGAAAGCCGCAGCCATTTTATTTCTGAACATTATTCAGGTTACCTATACTACTTATACTTACCGCCTTTATTTTCTTCACCCATTTTAATATTACGATCCAAATTAAACAGACAGCTTTATTCAAGACCCTTATATTTTAGATAATGAAATCGATCATATATTAGCAACCAATATTATATATAAAAGATACAGCGTCCCTACTTCGCAGCACAAGACTATGACGTCAACAACCTTCGGTACACAACATACAGCACAGATTAAAAATAGCAACGCGCGACGAACTGTACTGTCATCTTACGAAGAACAATGGAAATTCGACCTACGACGGTAGCTCAATCAGTAATAACATGACACACTCTCTCTCTTCACCAAACTGTATAAAAAGTGTACAATTTAGGTGATCTGTGGCTTATATTGACGTGACCCCCAGTACTGGACATGTATTCTTCTGGAACAACAAGAAAATCGTTTACCCACGTGTAATACACCTCCAACTATTGTTCTATATGAAGATTAAATTCATATGACGTACACCGTCACGGATTACAATCGCACAAATAAGTATTTAAAGTACTATAGAGCACTCTGCTGGCAATAGTACGCATTGTACTTACTCGAACAAATTATTGGATTCTCCAAACCTCACAATAACAGTACAATTGAGGTTCTCATTCACAGATTTAATTTGCAGTCTTGAAACGTAGTGCCCATTTAATTTCTGCTACACTTTTGACGCCGGGCGATAGTTCGCCCCACAAATTTTGTATGCGGTTATGTAGGTACATGTATGTGTGATTTTGCGTTTCCGTTGATACAGCGAGACGTGTGTCGAGTTTAGGCTACGTATAATGGACTTCGCGGAATAGACTGACGTTTGAGTTTAGGTATGGATCGAACTAAAACGCTAGAAGACAATCTAAGGGAAGCATCCTGTATTGGAGACATTGAAGGAGTAGAAGAATTATTAAAGAAAGGGACTAATGTTAATGCCAAGCATGATATTAATGGATGGTGAGAGACGTATCTTAAGCTTATAGTTAATTGTAATTAATTCTATAAGATAAATTATTCGCGGCAATAATTCCATGCATCGTACAATGTTGTTCATTATGTATATTGGTAATCCTAGTATATTACTTATGACAACTCCACATAGGATTGTTTTAAACCTGTTGCAGCATCTGAAATAATTTTGCTGTAAATATGTTATTTCCAAGTAGAATTTCAAGTCTCCTTGTAACAAGTTCCATTCAAGGGATGGATGACTTTTGTAAAGTGTGTTTAATCTTCCCATGATATCTACAATTTTGTCAAGCTTATAGAATACTAAACTACACATCAAAGCACTACATACCAGCATACTCTTGCTTTCAAATGTTATTTTAGGACTCCCTTGCATTGGGCAGCAAAACGAGGGCATAAGGCAATTGTCAGCATGCTACTTACAAATGGGGCAGATATAACAGCTGTTACAGCAAAAGGAGAGACACCTGCAGAACTTAGCAATAATCCTGAAGTTCATAAACTATTAGGAATGGAACTTGGAGGAACTACAATTTCAGCTGAATCCAGTCCAAATCTTCCTATTACACCATATTATTTGATACATCAGCCACTGAATGGAAGAGTGGATGTTTGTACATCAACATCAATAAGGAGGAATATGGAAGAGGCACAAAAACACTGCACACCAGTTATAAGTTCTGCTGTTAAACCAGGCCCCCAGACTGGAGGTTCTACTCAGAATGATGGTAAAGTGTGAAATTCATTGAATGTTTTCATCTGAATTGGTTACAGCTCATTCAAGCGGGACAGGTATGGAGGAAGGAAAGGATTCTGTGGATTGCACCCATTGCAACATTAAATAGATGCTGCTGCTGTTCAGGTTGCAATGTAACTTAGTGTGCAATACACAGCACATTTAAAAAATACTTGCTCTATAATAAGCCTGACACTTTATATTTTGAGAACAAGATACCTTACAATAAATCTTAATAGTGTACAGAGAAATTGTATACCTAAGAAAGGTAACTGTCCATGTACATAATTATATTCATACAATGCATGTTCTGTATCGATTTCAGTAGCTTTGTGATCTGAGATATAATTAAGATCACCAAGTATACTGATCTCTACATGGAATCAGATTGTTCAGACAAGCTGCTGAAATATACTTGCACAGATAATGCATATTTAAATGCCATTTGAGCTTAAGCATTTTAATAAGACCAATATCCTTAATTAAATGTTTTTTATGATGGTTATATAATATTTCTATGCTCAACAATGTTCTACAGTCCTTTATGACTATCTTTTTTAGAGCTAGTATTGAAGATACGTGCTGCCAATTCTGGTGACCCGGACTTCATTGAAGTAGAACTTCCAAGAACTGAACTCTCATATTCCCGACTGCTAAGAGTATGCTGTGAAGAGTTGGGTATTAGTGCTAATCAGATCGTACGTGTCCGTAAGCTTCCAGACACACTTGTGCGTAAGGACAAAGATGTACAACGATTTCAGGACTTCCAGGAAATTGAAGTTGTGGTTGCAGCATCAGCTGGAAAGAATAAGATTGTACCTGGAACCAATGGCCTCATTAGTGCTGGAGGAATGGGTGGAGGAAATATCAATGGTTATCAGTCTATATCTCTTTACAAGAACCAAACAATCCTGTATTAGGCTCATTTGCATCATTCTCCAGAATAGGTATGTTGAATGAAGAAACAGTACTGGAATTGAAAAGTTAACAAATTCACATAATTCTCTAATTTCTATGTACTTTGAAAGTACTCTTCATCTATGTGCCATACTAAATGAAGAAGTGTGTAAAACCTGGAAGTTCTGTGACATGATATAACTAACATATTTTACTGCATAGTAAAGTTGATCATAAATGTCAATGAAATTACCTTTTGCCAAATTGTTAAAAGTGTTATATCAGTTTTATTCATACATTATGTAGGGACTGAGGCTTACATCTGTGAATAATCTTATATTGAATACTCTTAATTTTCCACTACTTACAGTCACTGAATATTCACATTCTTATAAGGTTGGGAAACTGTTGGAAGTGTCACGATGGAAACAGTGAGAAAACAAAAGGGGATGACTGAAAAGTCAATGTGTACCTTAAATCCATTGGAATGCTTTGGTATTGGAAGTGTTAAAGACCACAGTTTTGTTAACAGTGTTGGTTACAATATAGCTTACTTTACTGTATTCTGCTTACAGTAAGTATTCTAATCACTTTTTATTTACCTTTAAAATGTAGATATCTGTGAATGTTACCACATGAGAGGTCTACATAATCTTTATAAATACATACATGTTAGATATGAAGAGCCACTGTATCAAAAATGTCTCATCCCATAAAATTAATGTGTGAACAAAATGTTTCTTATCTGAGTTCTACAGAATTTTTGCAGTTTTAATGAAACATTGTCAGTAATTCTGGTATCTGAGTAAAAAGGTATACATAACTGGCCATTATGGTTCTGATGTATTATTTTAGGCTTGTAATATGTTTATACAACTTTATTAATGAATATAAGAGATTTTTTATAGTTGAAATTGAAGATATAGTTAAAGTGGCAGTCTAAAAGCATATTACCTTTGAATATGATCATAGTTTTTCCATAATTTCTATTGCATCACTAGTTTGTTGTTCTTTTCTTCTCCATCTTCTATTTCTTTCTGTTTCTTGTTTTTCCTCTTAACAAATTTCAGTTTCTTCTTCTCAGGCTCACCATTTGGCTTGCTAGTAGCCTGTAAATTATGTACAAATAAGGAAATATGAGACTCATATAGAATAAAAACAACTCTAATTTACAAAGGTTCTGTTTGAAACCAATAAAAATAAAGTTTGTCTTCAACATGAACTTTTTACAAAGGAGTTCATGATTGTCTCTTACTTTTATGAATGATATTATCAATTATAAACATAATTTCTCACTGCAAATGTTATCAGTAATTAAAAAACAGAATAAAACGTGCATCACATTTCTTACTAACATTCAATCCACAGCATGGGGATAATGGACGATACTCTTTAACATCGAATGCATATTCTGTAATGACTCAAGTCACAAACTGTACGTCATTTGAAGGTTAAAAACAAGAATAAAGTAATTGAACAATATTCACACAGACTTACCAATTGCATTTTAGCAAAATATTGTGCCTGCATTTACATACATGTCAACAACACAGTGTGAACTGTTTAGTATCATGAGCAAACTGTAATGATATACTGAAATTGAAACCAATATGAAATATAAAACAAACATTTCTCAGCTTAACCATTTACAAAAGAAACAAACACGAAAACATTATTATTATTATTATTGTTTGTTCTTAATAGATGTGAGTTTTATTTATACTTAGCACAATTATAATAAATATTTTAAAATATTCCTTCAACATGGAGAAGAACAGTGCCTGTTGGAACAGTACATCCTTTTTTCATGTCCCAAAGCAGCTTCTACTATTAGTATGGCTATACTATATGATTCTGCAAGTTGAAGGAGTTTCTTGAAAGTGGTGACAACATAATTCAGTTAATTGTTGGCCTTTCGTTTATTTTTCATTTAGTTTATTACTGAATGATGTTCAAATAGGCTCCTGATACTTGACAAGGAGACTTATGTTCTCACAATTAGTAGTGGCAATTCTACCATGTGCTTACTATAACTTTCAGACCTGTTACAATCTGTAGGTTCTTGAGTAAGGAATTTTCTTCCATTTAAGTTGGGAGAGGCACAGAGGGGGAGTTAACTGTACATTTATGACTGCCAGCTATAAGTAGCTTTGGAATTAAAATTGGAAGGAGAGTATGTATGGAAAGCTACAGAAGTCCTTGTTCTATAAAGTATTTTCTTTATATGTAACATTAACATATTCATGGTGCTGATATCTTTCTCCCTGCTGTTCTACTGTTATAAACAGTACCCATTTTACAGCAGTCATGCTGCATTTTTCATGTACTTGGGTACATCTTGGTATTTCTCTGATTTGTTTGTATCATGTTGCCAGTAGCAAAGTTATTCATTTATAATAATTTATGTAGCTACAGCATATATTCTGGTTCTGGTTTATTTAATGGAACCTTGAAGAATGAATATTTTGCTATCTAGTTTAATTAGTTTTCATTGTTTCTTGCTCTTTCATTTAGTGTCTCATCTTGCAGAGAAATAAAGAACCACTAGGCCTGTGGCTTCTCTGTATTATTGCTGTCAAACAATGAACAAAGAAAAAACTGAAAGTAACAAGAAATAGCAGCAATTACTCACTTCAATTTGTTTCCTCTTCTTTTTATCATTACTTTCTTCTTCAGTATTTGCATTCCACTGCTTTGACCACTCACTGAGATATGCATCCTCAGCAGCCTCAGCCACAATTTCATTTCCATCATCTGATTCCTGTTCCTCTTCTGAGCCAGGCTGTGGTCCAACTTCTGTCTTCTCTTCTGTGGGAACTGTAAGAATTTCATCTGCACTATCTACATCCATCTGAAAAAGACAATTTTCATTTCAGGCAGTCAGTATGGATATTGAAAAACATAAGGTATAACAAAATCATGTTCTGTTGCACAGATCTAACCTAATATTACCTCCCTGTTTAATCCCTTGCTGGAGACCAATTTATTGCATGTGCTTTATGTAGTATGTTTTAGGATTTAGCATGTTTAGTATTGCATGCAGCAATTACATTTACTATACTGCAAAGGATAAAAGATATAAGGTGACATGTTACTTATCATGATCTATATAGTTTTTGAACATTGAAGAATACGAGGGGGATGAAGTTTTGCACTCCATGTAACTTTAAGCTGGACATGGCAATGCAAATATGCACCTCTGTAAAATAATAATAATAATAAAAAAGTATTTGCAAATGTTTCTTATGCTGACAAGTCACTATAAAAGGCTCTGTTTCTGTAGGATATATGTAAAATTAAGTTGCTACCTCCTCATTAGAGTCGTATTCCTCCCAGTCTGAATCACTCAGACCCATCTCCTTCTCCTCCTTTGTCCGCTCCAGCTTCTTCACGATCACCTCACCATTAGGCATGACTGTGACATGTGTTCCTGGGAATGTAGTGAGCTCTCCCTCAACTGGTCTTGCTTTCTTTGGTATGACAGGATTCACAACTGGCACATTCACCTCATTGCTACTCTCTGCAAATCAAGAATAGTCACTGACAAGCTGTTATACTGTTATATGAGTGCCACTTTTAGACTCAAGTTATCATATTAAATCGAAGAGTATCTGCAAACTAACTCTGCAATATTTGTTGTGATTGCATTGCAAAATGTACATGCAACTATATCACCAAACCTCACTGTTGTTGCAGTAACAAATATGACCCTGACTGTTCAAATACCATTAAACTAAGAAAAATGTTATGCCATCTAATTGAAGATCAAATACATATTTTCAATAGTTCAAAGCTTTGTATATTTCTATGAACACGTGAAACTTAAACAAGCTAGGAAGCAAATACATAGCAGAACAATTCTAGCATATTCACTCTACTACTGCTTATAAATTATTCATTTATGAATGTTGCCTTTTGATGTTTTAAAAATAGCATGAAATAGGTAGGGATAACAAGCAAGAATCTCCAACATAAATTTTAACCAAAATCAGTCTAATGGGTCTCAGGTTATGAAATGATGCAACATAAAAATCCATTTCATTTAATTACCTTGAAAACCATAAAACATGGAGAAAGTGAACTGGGCATAACAAGTTTAATTTTCCTCTAAAACATCTGTTCAAAACATTTTTTCTCTAGTAAATATTTAGCAAATTATTATACTCAAGTTGCACAAAATATGCTGGTATTCATTATGTGCCTGCTAGTGCAGTCAAGTTTTCACCAAAACTGCTATGTTATGACAAAATTTAGTTACATTCAGTTGTTCACGAGGTTTTGGAGAGACATGGCAAAGGAATGTGCACTTTTGCATCACTGTTTGGAATGCACTTCAAAAGAATATTAAATGATTTAAAAAAATTCCTACTTAATGATGACACCTACAACACCATAAATTAAAGAATTTTACATTCATAAATGATATTTTCAATGAGGATTAATAAAATATACATTAATGTGATTAATATAATATATGCTGTATTGAGAGTTCACTATACTACTGTGGCTTGCTTACTGAGTGTAATATATACAGGTATGAATGGGGAGTCTTGCAACTGAATATTCAGGGAGCGGATGTTGTCCCATCCTCCAGGATAGTGTTCTGCCAGACAATCTGCAACAGCCATGATGTTCTCTGCTATCTGCATTACCGACTGCTTTGTGTGCCCAACCTGTTGCAAGAAATACCAGCTCACTGAATACAGTATGCCTCAAGAAGTGATTATTTTTCTCAATATTAGAAAAGAAGTGATGGTGTGGTGCTTCTATCTCTCTTATCACAGGAATATAACTGAAATAAGAACCTCACATGCTGCAGACAGATGCCCTCAAAGATTGTTTTGCAAACATCCAAATATAAATCCAGAGCATTTCAAGACTTATGCTGTAGCCCTGTGTAATTCAATATGCTTCGACAACAGGTGTGATGATGCATTTGTATCTTAATGTAACAAGTGTGACTCAACTTTAAAGGAAAGAAAAGGGTCAGCCAAATAAAAATTTAAGTTTAATGCCTATGATGTCATAGAAATGTTGAGAATGAAATGTGGGACTCATGAATTTTATTGACTTGAATAATGTAAAACTGAAGAATTTTCCCTGTCACTATTCTCTTGCCTGTTACAGTTGGCTGACAGCACAAAATACACGCACTCATCTCAAGTATTTTAATAACCTGTAATAGAAATAAAATACATTGTGGTATTCAGATTTTTAACACATTACAAATTTGGTGACTCCATAAAATGCAGAAGTTACAACAGGTTGACCTTATCACTGTGAACATTCAATCCAGGCAAATTCATTACTTTCATGGGAATTTTATCTAATCTGTTGTAGGTATATCTACTTAATTTCTTACACTTGTACTATACAAATTACTTCTATACAAATATTAAAACTCACCTACAAGTGATGTCAAGAAATATTTTGTTATTTCAATAACTCATTCTAAATTTACCTACAAAATCTGCATGGAATTACATTACAAATACAAGTATTACTTGTATGAACAGTAACAATATCTACGAGGTATAATCTTTCAAAATCCTAAAATGTATCATCACACCTATGGTAGGTGCTCTCAGTACTTGTACATGAAAGTTCAGGTTTCATGGCAGTGAAGATGTTGATGTTATCTGGGTTGTAATGCTGTGTGGACTTGTGAGTAGTTACCAGTGTTTTGGAGGAACATGTGAGTTAATGTCCATCAGTATATTGTAAAGAATCAAGGCTTGTATAATTGTCTGAGGGACTGTGCCATACCCTGAGAGCTGCTTTATTTCCATTTGTATTCATCATCATTAGTGTCTTGGAGAGAGCTCTTTCGAATTCATCCTTTAGATTCTTTACTCTCATATCCACCGGAACTGGTAACCTACAAGAGATACAATATATATTATTTCCTTCTCTTATTATCACCAATATTCAGGAATTACAACTCAAAAAATAAACAACATTTATCACATGAATATAGAACATTTAAATTCATTACAACCTAAAGTCATCATCTAAAACGCAGGGCATTTCTTGTTAAAGCTGCTTACTATCCTGCAGCTATTGCAGCAATTAATTTTAATACCCTTCATACACATTTTAGTACTTAAGTGAAACACATGATATAATATTTTTGCTTTGAACAACTATGTTATGTATGGCAAAGGTTTAAATGTAAAGCACACCTGTTACTTACAAGTGAAGTAATGAAAACTCCCTTCTTCTTATGGGGTGGGGGTTAAAATACAAAAATCCATTAATGCCACAGGTACTCACTTCCGTCTCTTATAGATCTCCTTGCCAAGAAGTCTAATTATATGCCCAGCAATACGACCATCTGACAGGAACAAATCAAACTGGCTCACTAAACGACGGCGAAGCTCATACTGTTCATATTCCACTCGCACCTGTCTCAGTGGCATCACCTGATAAGAGAATCATAGTGTATAAGATGTCTTTTCCATATTAAAAAGACACTTACAAGCAAAGTTTTCCATGTTCCAGAAATTAAGTCTCTGCCTGCAGGTCACAAGGAATTATGCATATTCATAATGAAGTAAAGAGCTATCCACTGTTCAGGTAAAAGAGGTACAGCACAAACACAAGGTTGAGGTTAATCTACAGTCTACATAACAAGGGAAAATTCTAAGCAGGAATAGGATAGACAAAGGCCATATCCTGATTTTGATATATCTTCTCCTGTAAATTCTCATATATTTAGATCAATTATGAACATAAACTATTAAAAAGTATGCTTCTCAACACATTTTACATGCAGCATGACAACCAAGTACCTGAAAAATATCAAGCCCTCATCATGTTAATAATGAAATTATCTGAAAAATAACATTTAGCGCTTTAAAACTTTTCAAGTTCATACAAATCAGTTTTTTGGTAATGTGGTTATCATCAAAACTTACCTGAGAAATTCCAGTTACATTATTTTTTTCTAAAAGGTCCTTATAATGTTTAATTGTTGGTTCATGATCCTCTCTCTTTCCTTTCTTGAGATCAGGAACAAAAAGACATACATCAGACGATTTGTCAATCAGTGGGTGAGGCAAACGGCTAGAATCAAGCATATTTCAATAAAAAATATTATCATAGCACATGTACAACGCTCAACAAACCCACCTGCCTGTGTCTGTGATGAGGGAAAACCAAGGCAATGAGTGAAAGAATATTTTGCTTTTCCTCAATAATATTCTTTTCAATCAAATCAACTGAGTAAGCTGCTCACCTGAAGATGGAACCAGAGACAGCTTTGAAAATGTTGTGAGGTTTTTAAACACAGACAAGGAAAAAAATATAAAAATATCTGCCACTTAAAATTGTAGCTCTGAACATTGGGAAGTAGGAAAAAGTTAGAGCAAAATATTATTTGCCACTTATTTTTATTAATCACTGTATGCAAGATTGGTTGCTATTTTAGTCACACTGTAAAAATATGCTGAAAATTGCAGGAATGTTCCCACACTTTCCTTCCATTAAAATTTAAATGTTACATACTCATAAGTAACAACTTAACTGAAAGAATAGTATCAGCTCAACAGTATTCTGAGCATTAAAAATATACATTTCAGTTTCTTCACTGTGGAATAAATTCTTACAGTTTTTAAGAACCAGCAAGTTCTAAATAACTGAAAGTTCAATAATGTGGGTTTCACCAAGAATGAGGTTCAGAGGTGAATCTCCAGCTGAGGATGAAGGTTGTGATAACATTCTGCTATCATATGTAACACACTTAAAGACAAGAGAAAATTATACTCACAATCTGAAATTTTTGTTGTACATCTTAGGAATCCTAATGCACTGTATTACCAAGAACACAGGCTGACCTGCATCCATAAACAGAGACATGGTCTTTGACGATGCATTAGCATCCCTCAACTGCAACATTGCAGACACACTGCATTGCACCTGTGAATGTAATGATGCATACATGCATAAGTAACATATTCACCACCAAATGTACCAACAATGTTTTCATCACATTGTGCCACAGGTGCCAAACACATGGAAAAATGTTTCAGACACACTTTACCAACACACAGAATGGTAACTCAATGATAAAAGTTGGCAATGCATGTGGCCTATGTTGTCCTGTCATCTATCTGCAACTGTAGTGAAACTACTGTAAAAACAATCAGGTGGGCAGCGGGTAATAATGTGAACTACCATTAAACAAACTATCTTCTCCTCCTCGTCGTCCTTCACCATATCATAGGAATTATTAATTTTAAAAATCTAAATATGACTGTAACTCTTGTTGGTTAACTCTTCAACAAACGAGTGTACCTAACAACTCTATAGTGATAGCCTGTGATCATGTAGTTTTCATAGAAGATAATATAAAAATATTTGTCTCTATTGAACTCAGGAAGTATCTATAGACTATACTGTTAAATCTAATGACATTCTCACTTACCTTATCAAACAACAGGGTATGTGAAGGCTTTGGAATTCCAACTGGAATTGTACCTGCAGAAATAGTCACTTCAGAGTAATTTAATTTCTGAATCCTGATAGCATCTTCCTTGGGCTTCTTTCTCTGTCTGTTTCCAAACTTCATGGTACCCCTCACTTTGGATCTATTTAATTTCTTAATTTTGATAACCCCTTTGTGCTGATTATTTCTGCACTTCAGTTCCAAATTTGTAACATCTTCCTTTTTTGAATTGCATAAGTTCTCAATCTTAATAGCTTTTCTTGGAGGTTTATTTATGTGTTTATGTTCCAACTTTACAATACCTTTCGACTTAGGGCTATTTAACTTCTTAATTTTGCGAAATCCTTTGTGCTGATCATTTCTGCTTTTGTATTTCAAATTTGTGGTATCTTCCTCTTTGGAATTACGTGATTTCTGAATCATGATAGACTCTTGATGTTGCTTCTTTCTATGTTTCAGTTTCAAATTTATGGTACTTCCCACTTCAGATTTATGTGAAGGCCCTGGACCTGCTTCAGGACTCATATTTGCAGGAAAAAGCAGTTCAGAAACATTTACTTTCTGAATTTCCATAGTCTCTTTCTTTGGCTTGTATTCCAATTTTATGTTACTTTCTATTTTGAAAGTATTGCCCTCTTTAATGTCAACTGTTCCTTTGTACTGCTTGCTTCTGCTTTTTAGTTTCAAATTTGCAACATCCTCCTCTTTGAAGGTATTTATTTCCTGAATCCCAAGAGCTTTTTCGTGTATATTTATACGTTTGAATTTAAAATCTGTGACGTTATCTTCCACTTTGAAATTCATTAATATAGGAATTTCGTTCCCACCTTTATGCTGTCTACTTCCACGTTCTCCTTTCAGATTGTTTATGCTTTCCGTAACATCGGCAGAAACCTGCTTTTTCTTCTTCTTTCCAGGAATATCTGTAGTCAATTTAATATGACGATAGTTCCCTGAAGGTTTAAAATTACAGTTTATTGCTGGATATGAATTTGAACACACTGCATTATTCTCAACATAACCTGTTTGCACTTTACTCTCGCAAACAGAATTCGCCATTGTCGGCCTCTGGGATAGTACTGAAGTAAACGATTTAGTCGAGTTGCTTTGTATTGCTGGAGACTTCACTTTTTGTCGCTGTAATTCATGTTGCACCAACTCTGTATGAATATCCATATCTTCACATTAAACAGCACACGTGCATTTCCACCATCTACACATCGGCATCCACCCTGTCAACAATTTATGGCAAGTAATAACATAAGTGGAGACATCTTGACACGAGTTACAAGAACTTCTATTATAATATTAATATTTCCAAGACATGTCGAAAGAAGTCGCCAGCGGTTGACTAGCCGACAAAGCAGCTAGGAAATTTGTTTTCAACTATTCCGTGGCATACATTGTCGTTGATATATGTGCGTTGCTATTCGTGTCAGTTTAAAGATTATGTGAGTTATGTAGAACTGGATCCACCGGTTATGGCCGATGACCTTATAGGAGGAGACCAATATAGGGACCACTCCATGGAGGAATCCTGGAGAAGTCGTTGATGGTTGTCTGGACGTCGTAATTTCATAAATTGCGCTTCCGGTGTACTGTGTCAGTTTGTTCAGTAGTGGAGGTTTTTTATGAGGTTTTGTTTGATGTGCTAAAATGAATCACACCAGTAGACTTTGTTTTTATCACTGTGTTTACTTATAGTACAAGCCCTTCCGGTGTACCAACTGTTAGATGAAGTTGAATAAATATTGTAATCTTATTTAATACTTTATGTGCAAACTACTTAAAAATTTAAGGGTATAACGGTTTTGTCATAACATATGTGTAGATACACATGTATTTTGTAGGCGAGAGTTTGTTGTGAATATTTGGGTAATCTTTAATTTGAATTTTTAAATGTTTAGTATTGTAATATTGGTTCACCTGTATGGTTGCCTAGCAATGTATAATCGGCATAATTGTGTATGGATGGAAATCATTATGTCAAATATTTTGAGGACGAAGTGTGTTATTGTAGGGAATTGTACCGTAGGGAAGACTGCCCTATCTCAAACATTTTTGTCAGATGGTAGACAATTTTCAAAGAATTATAACATGGTAAGATCTAAATTTATGAATCAAAGATTGTGCAGATGCACTTGAATTAATTGCATGTCGGCGCATCATGTTAATCAGAATATTCCAGTTCTAACAAAGAACTTCAGAGTGTTATTAAATCGGACCACTATTACATAAAATCGTACTGACCCAAATATAACTTGGTAATACAAATTCCAATTTCACTTGCTTGGGTTAGAACAAGTGGTAAGTTTTGGTTGAAATGTGTGCATTGGTTGTATCAGTGGTGATGCTAATATAATATTTGTTAATTATGAAGTTGGAATTAATATTTTGATATTATCTATGCCTGATTTGTTTGTTGGGTTACTGTATTTTGTTCAGCATTCCCTTTTTATTTTCTGTATATGTGACACAAAACAATGATAGAAATGTGTACTGAAGGATTTTCAGCTACTGTGGAACCTAGATGGAACAAAAACTTTGTCTGAAATTATATCTTGTTCAGTAACAGTGCAGTGTGCATTTTCACCATTAATTACTGAGTTGCTATCTTGATGATAGATATGGCACTCTGTTCAGTTTTGTATCCAGATGCACAGTAGTTACATCTGCTAAATGGAAACCTGTCTGAAATGAAAAATGGCTTTAGATCCTTTGGGATTCCATAATAAACTTGTTTTAAAAGTGTTGTTAATGTATAATTAAGAAATTCAAAATTAAGTACTTGTTCATAATCTACATAGTGTTACACATTTACATTAGTCACATATAAATGTGCAGACTTTACATTTAGACCCACTGCACACTACCAATGAAAGCTGCCTCTATTGGTGTTTCTGTTGGTTCTGTATTGTTTTCTGCCTAATATTCTCCTGAAGGAAATTGGTTTAAAATTAATCTTTTACAAGTAAATTCAATGAATATCTGTGTCCTTTTTTATTTTATGCTAGGTACTCACCACTTCAGTAGATGAAAAATTATTAACAACTTGAAATATGAAGTAAAATTCATTTTCAATGGATTTTTTAATTTTAAAAATTTTATATCACCAGGGCCCTCAGAAAAGAAATGAGAGTAAACAAATATTTTTTAAGGAAAATTAATATTATGGTACCTGAATACTGTAAAAAACAGTTTTGACAATTTTAACATCCTGAAAACTCCATTTCAGAGTTAAAATTGTGAAGGAACAATAAGTTTTATTTTTGTTGATCTTGTTCTGTGCAGCAGAACTGTCAGCCAACCCACATGCTGGCCACCATGCACATACTTCTCAGTAATGTTTTATCCAGCAGTAAATACCTCTATTAGATTTTATAATATGTTTAAATTTGTATGAAGTTTATTAATGGACAGTGATTATGGAACATGTAAATAACCATTTCCCATTATTTATAGACATTTGGAGTTGATTTGAAAGTGAAGACATTATCAATTCCAGATTCAAATGATACTGTGGAATTGTTCATTTATGATTCTTCAGGACAAGATGTTCATAACAATTGTCTTTCAAAATATGTAAGTACTAATAATGATAATTAAAAAAATATTTTCCTTGATTCTTTTAAGTAAATTATAAATTTAGTATATGTCATGGTACTGCAAGAGAATTCTGTGATATCTGATGTTAATTATGTGTTATCACCCAGCAAGACATCCCACCGAAGCAAAGGTCATTGACTCCAGACAACTTTGACACATCTGAGACTGTTTGCAAAAGTCATGAGTCAAATTCTGGCAACCATGTCAGAATTGTTATGTTATTTATACAGTATCTAATTTGTTGTTCTGACCTTTACAGTGGCATGAACCCAACATCTTAATGGCAGTATTTGATGTTACATCTGAGTTGTCACTTGATTCAGTAAGCCACTGGGTTGCTCTTGTACGCAGCACTATACCTCAAAAAGCTGCCTCCACAACTCCTGGTGTTCTCTTTGGAAATAAGACTGATCTAGTAGACAGAAGAGTTGTAAGTCCCAAAACAGGATCTACTATGGCAGAGAAACTTGGGCTTATGTATTTTGAAGGATCTGCTGTAAGTGTACACATATTATTTTTGTTTGTTTGTTTGTCATCAGTCTTTCGACTGGTGTGATGTGGTCCTCCATTTTCGCCTATCTTGCGCCAATCTCTTCATTTCCTCATATTTTTTGCAGCCCACATCCTCAAAAATCTGTGTCATATTCCAATCTTTGTCTCCCCCTACAATTCTTCCCTTCAACTGTTCCTTCCATTACCAAATTAACCAATCCTGGGTGCCTCAGAATGTGTCCCACCATCCTATCGCTTCTTCTCGTAAGATTTTTCCATAGACTTCTTCCTTTGCCTATCCTGTCTAAGACCAGCTCATTTTGTACTTTATCAGTCCACTTAATTTTCAACATCCTTCTGTAGCACCACATTTCTATCTTTCTTTCTGGCTTTCCCACTGACCATGTTTCACTTCTGTATAGCTCTGTGCTCCAAACATATACATAACTTCAGAAAAATCCTTCTTAATTCCAGGTCAATGTTTGACACTAGTAGACTTCTCTTTTGGAAGAAGGCTCTTTTTGCTTGTGCTAATCTACTTTTAATGTCTTCCTTGCTTCGTCCATCTTTTGTGATTTTGCTTAATAAATAACAGAATTAACTTCACTTCTTCTACTGTGTCCTTCCAAATTTTGATATTTAATGGATCATTATTCTCATTTCTGCTGCTGCTCCTAACTTTTGTCTTGTTTTTGTTTATCCTTATGCCAAATTGCTCACTGAGTAATCTAATCATACCATTCAATAATTTCTCTACATCTTCCTTCCTTTCAGCCAAAAGGGCAATATCATCAGCAAACCTTAACATTGCTATCCTTTCCCCTTGAACCTTTATTCCTATCCTGAACTTTCCTTTCACTTCCTTCATTGCTTCCTCAACATACAAGTTAAACAGCGAGGGCGATAGGCTGCATCCATGCCTTACTCCCTTTTTAATAAATGCCTGTCTTTCTTGATTCTCCAGTTTTATTATGGCCACCTGATGCTTATAAATACTGTAAATAACTCGTCTATCTTTATACTTCAGCCCTACCCTCCTCAAGATTTCAAACATCTTATTCCACTTTACGTTGTCAAAAGCCTTCTCCAAGTCTATAAATGCCACAATTGTATCTTTATTTTTCTTAATCCATCCTTCTATGATTAAACGTAAGGTCAGAATTGCTTCTCGAGTACCCATACTTTTTTCTAAAACCAAACTGATCCTCATCTAGTGCCTCTTCAACTTTCCTTTCTATTCTTCTGTATGTTATTCTAGTTAATAATTTCAATGCATGCGATATCAAGCTAATTGTGCAGGAGTTTTCACATTTGTCTGCTCTCGCTTCTTGGGAAGTGCAAAGATAATGCCCTTTTGGAAGTCTGATGGTATTTCTCCGGACTCATAGATTTTGGGCACCAGATTGAATAACCTTCTAGTTCCTTCTTCCGCAATAGATTGCAATAATTCTGAAGGATATTATAAATGTATAAATATTTGGTTAGGAAACCCAAACCCTTCTGCATGATGAGGTGGGAAGTAGAACTAGTAAGGAAAAATTATTTACTTGATGAATATAAGAAATATTTAGAGAAGAGAAATAATTTAATGGGTAGTGCACTTGACACTTGGATAGTAAGGAAAGTATGTATCTTAATTTCATTTATGCTTTATACATTGATTGCAGTGAACGCATATCTGGTTATCCTAACTTATAGAAATAATATGACATCATTAAATAATGTAAGAAACAAACTATGTTTCATTTTCAGTGGAGTTGCAGTCAGGTATGCTGATCAAGAATTCAGTTACTAAAAGAACAATGTAACATTACAAAAGTATGATACATCTGGAAGGAATTGTTTATATATATAATGATGTACTTTAATAGCTGAACTTTAATACTTGTCCCAATTGTAATAATATAAACTTAACATGAAAAATCTTTTATTGAAATTAAAATAACTGTTCAGTTTAGTTTCATATTTTACTTCCAGTAATTTTTTCCTTCATACTTTAAAATGTCTAGTTTCTGACAAGAGTTTCATGATAGTTGGAGCACACTTTGTATTACTCATTTTTTTATTCATTGCTACCTGTGAAAGATGACTGATATTTTTAATATTTTTACAAAGATTAATATTTAAAAATTTACATTATTCTTTACCTGCCACCATTCATTTATTACAGAAAGAAAATCAAGGGATTGAAGAACCATTTTTCCTATTAGCACATGAATGGCACAAGTTGTACAGTGAGAAGAAAACTGCCTTTGATCTTATTGCATGAATGGATACACAACACTGTGAGGTATGGAGTAAGTTCAGTTTTACAACCTAATGAAATAGAGAACAAATAAAAAGGAACATCAGATTTCTTTCGTTTGTTGTAGGGAACAACAACAAACCAGATGTTCTGAGTTGTGACTGAAAATAAATACAATATGATGGTCTTCTTGCTTTCATGTTCCACAGTCAGATGACTGCATTCTACTTCTTGCTGCTGCTGCTACTACCTCGGTTGCGCTTGGTGCCTTCTCGAGTTCGGAGTTCACTTGGTGAAACATCAGGTCCAGGGTGTCCACTAGATCCCACCTTACAGTTGGAGCTCCCATTCAGGAAATTAGCATTATCATACTACATTATTGCACAAAAGAAAATATGTAGTCTTTGCTTTGCTTTTGTTCAGAATAAACTTTACAGTATTCTGAAACATATACTTTTACTTTCAACTTTGCTTTTATATCCTCAAATAAATCTCCTAACCTGTGATAATTTTCTGAGTTAAAGTTGTTATTCAACACTGTTATTGATGAATTTAATACTAGTATAGTGCTGCAGTTGTAAACTGTAAACTTAATTATGTTGCAGCAACCATTGAGAAGCTAACTGTCACTCAGCTGCCTATTGTGGAATCAGAAGGTTCAATACTGTGTTCACAAAAATCAATCACTGGAGCAGACAGACATCCTCCAATCCAATTTCTTTAAGATTAATGTTAGTAGTGTTACCTTATTTATGCCCAGTCTCCTTTCAGGTTCTCCAGTTAATACTTTGTATCCATTTCTCATCCTTCAAGTGTGTGCTACATGCCCTGTATATCTCATACCCCATTTTTGGTTCAACTAATATAATTAATGAACAGTAAAAAATATGAAGCTCCTCATTTACCAGTTTCTTCTTTCTTTATTTTCTGTAAGGGCCATATATTTTGTTGTCCACTCAATCAAATTTAAAATGATGCAGATTAACCATGGACTGAAGAATTTAAAAATTCCAGAAATGTCTGGAGAACAATTTATTTCACACTCACCAAAGTGTTATGCTGCAGGTTGCGTGCAAGTATGCTGTAGAGGCCTGATGGGAAGTCAGAAGGCTTGTATTCTTCCATCAATGGTAGATGGTCTAAACAGTTTGATACTGTGTTCATCATTTTGTGTATCATCCTATCATCAGACAAGCAAGGCAATCCAACCTCTCGTGTTGGTAGCATCAGTTCTGCTGAAACTGCTGCTTTCAGTAGTAGCTCACTGCCATCTGAAGTCACAGATATGTACCATTGTTTTAAATTTTAAATTTCTGTGGCACGTACTGTATATGTGTTGTTATTTTTTTCATTTATTATTATCTCAAATATCATACACTAATTCTTTGGTAGCAGAACTCATAGGTTCAACATCAGTAACAACAGAGGACATGAATTCAACAACATTATTCATATAAACTGCATCTCTTTCACTCCACCTGATTCTAAAATGAAGTGTCCTGACAGTTCATTGATGCTGTGGAAATGTTGCTTTATTCTTGTTAGTAGGTACTGGTCCCGTTCACAGAGTTTCTTGCAGAGTGCCATGAAGAACTGCAACAATTATTCATACCTCATTTCAGAGACAGTAATAAGTACAAAGCCTTACATCTGACCATCTGTTGCCAACATATGAACTGCTGAAGTGGTCAGAAACTGAAATGCTGTGTAATATCAAGTCCTTAAATTTTTTGTAGTGATAGATTTATGCCTGTAAGAACTGTTTGACAAAACGTTTCTTGTGTTTCGGGAAAAGGTGAAAAATAAATTGTTCTCTTCAACATTTCTACAATTTTGAAGATGAAGCTCACATATATTGTTTAGCACTGTGAGAGGCCAACTGTAACAAATCTTACAAATTCAAACATTATCTCATGTTTTATGGAACAGGCTTAAGATATTCATTTGTCATACTTATGATTTAGAAGATAAAGCCCTTGCTTATATTCTTAGCATCTTGCCCCTGATACTGGAAATTGAACAGTGTTTATTCTGCTTGGAACATTCTCTTCAAATTTAAAAGTGTCCAAAAAATACCTCAGGATTCATATCCATGCCACTTTTCTGAGCATTGACTAATGGTCCCATATTATACTGACTTACATATCTTAATCCTAGTTCAGAGTGCCTTATAAAAGTATAATAGGCTGTTGTAACTTATATATATATATTAAATTATAAAGTTATTATTTCCTGTATGCTAAATTGCAAGATTATAAGCCATTCCTATACATTCTTTAGGATTCTTTTCTTATTTCATATCATAAATTGATCAGTTGTTTTGACATTTCATGTTCTGTTCAGTTTTGTTATATACAATTTATCATCTGAGCCATGTAGAAAATACACCTTCAAAGGTAGTTTAAATTCATTAAATAATGATAATTACCTGCTGATTGGCTAGCAGTTCCTCCCACTCCAAATGCCAACATTGGGTTGGACAGAGACGTGCTGGTTGACCAAAGAGATGTGACTGACAGATGCTGGATGATGTTAGACATGCAATCACCTCCAGTTCATATACTGGCATGTCATTTGCTGCCATTGAAAATTGTACTCTTAGTGTTAACTTCATCTCAAATTTTTATTAATCATATTTCTAATATTTATTGTTGTGGGGTTTTGTATTATAATGAAATATATGTTGATGATTACTTACATATATAGATAAATTGCTTGATAAGTTTAAAGTCAGACTGACTAAAATTTAGTTTGTTTGTCATCTCATTAGATGCATCAGAACTTAAACTTAAAAATTAAACTTTAACTATTAATCTTGGTGAACTAGTGGTTAATGTGCTTGCCACTGGACCCAAGGTTTGTGGGTTCAAACCTGGCTGAGGTCAATGGATTTCTAAAGCTGATAAAATCTGTAGCACAACTTCCTTCAGACGGGAAGTAAGGCCATCCATGTCTTAGATTTATGGCATGTAAAGGAACCCTGCAAGCATGAAAGAGATGCTTGCCGGCAAAATTCAGCGGCCATGTTTCTTATCCATGTCTCTCCTGATTCTCTACTAGATGGCTCCAGCAGACAAATCAGGAATGAGTAGAAATTGTAAAGATGCAGTGGGATTGTCACTCACTACTCAAAAATGCACTCTTCAAGACTAATAAGGACAAGTTGCCTTGAGCAACTGTCCCAGAATGAGTCAAAGGCCCAGTCCGTATAGTAGTTGATGAAGATGATGACTATTAATCTTTATATCCAGACATAATTATTATACTGCCCACTCCATACACACTCCTAGAATTTATGAGGAGATAAAAATAATATGTAATGTAGAAATATAGGTACCTGTAATTTTTTTCTACTTGTAAAAGTGCATCCAGTTTTGTGGATACTGCCTGTTCCTTATGCTGATGTGTGCATAAAGAGATTTATTTCAAAAGGTTGCCTACTTTTATAGTGTTTATACAAACAAAATTATAATCATAGCACAGTATTTGTATTATGTATGATAATATTTTCCATACATAGATTCTTTCATTCACAAACATTAAATTATGTGCACACACAGGCAAATATCTAGCTAAGTAACATACCAGCAGATTTTGTTAGTCCACTTCCTCCCAATTGGATGCTACAGAAGTCCATCTGAAGCTGATAGCGATGACCAAATGGCAGGGAAAAGGGATTTATGAGACATTCACCAATGTCACATTTGAGCGATGAAGATATTGAACCTGGAAGGTTAAGTGAAGTAGGGAAGGATATGCGCAGATGTTCATGGTCAATGTCACAATCCAGCAACCAAGTTTTGAATAAGCTCTCTAGTTCTTCCTCAGTTCCAGCAACTTGAATTAATACTACAAACTCTACACCTCTTAAGAAGTCTGTGTTGATCTTCTGTAATGGTTCTTCCTTATTGCTTGCAGTAGCCAGGTTACCCAACAGATTCTGTAACTGTACCACCTGTAATGGAATAGTCTGTAAATGTTTGTTTACTGTCTGTTTACATGGTACAGAATGGATGCAATTAACATGTTGTAATAATGATATAAATAAAATAAATTTATATGTTGACATGAAGTTAATTGTAAATAAATAAAGAAGATTGTTGAAGGAAAAGAGTTTACTAATTTCAGAGATTTCTTGATAAGATTTTAGCTGAGAGACTTTCTAAAAGATACGTTCTGTAACATGCCTATGTAAAAATATTACATACACCTTTAAATCATTTTACTTTCTGTGTAAAAGCAAGATGATTCTCTTTCATTTATGAAAACCATATTACTTTCTTTAATTGTTGAGGCATGTTTCTTAAGAACTCAAATTTGGATACTCATGAATATGTTTTATAAGAAATAAAGTTGTTCAGAAATATTTTTTGGTTTTCCTAACATAATGTAAAATATAAAACCAAATAAAGAGCCCCAACCTTTGCCACACCAATTATAGACTACATTTTAGTATGCAAATACAAAGAGAGACATTAATCTTTACTACATTCTACTGCATAGTTCTATGTAATTGTATGTGATATAAAACCATTTAGTTGTACAGACACTGCCTATAGTCTATTATTGTTATATAAAAGTAAAGTAAAGTAAAGTAAAGCTGTCCCACTATACGCCATGTAGACATTTGGGGGGGGGGGGGGGGGGGGGCTTCCTACTCATTCTTGACCTCAACACTAGATGAGGGTGTGTGGTGGCCCCAGAACTGGTCTGGGCGCAGAGGCTACAAGAAAAATTCTTTGCTCGCCACTGGGGATTGAACCCCAGTCATCCAGTCCACAGCCAGTCACTATACTGACTGAGCTAAGGTGGCTGTCATTGTTATATTAATTCCTTTATTGTCATTTTCAGTATGTACTGAAGGTACTAGATATTCCTACTTCTGAGCATTTATTGTCTTTTCATGACCCATAAACACAACATGCACTTGCATATTTATCAGAATTACCTGTATCTTCCTAAGCTTTGCAATATTCAGAGTCTTCACAGCCTCTTCCAGACACTGTTGAACATAAGAACCATTCTTTGCAGTCACCATTGTTATCTGAAGTTGTGGAGGAAAGAGCCATTTTTTGTTTCCAGACTAACAATAGAAAAAGCAAATATTAAAGTTTTCTATTATATTGCTGCACACTTTCCTTATGTTCTGCAGAACTCATCACACCCTGGGATCCAGATGTAGTAGTATGTTGGTTGTTTACCAACTAAGTAGATACCATATTATATTCAGCTTTTAATAATCAAATAACTGCTTTTCACATTCATGAAATGTAAATTTTATGTTCAAACATTAGCACATAAGTATGTGCATAATTTAAGATGCTGAATAGTGGGCTTTGCAGTTAACACTTTTGAACTTTCTAATTATGCAATAAAAGCGTTAATTAGTTGCTTCTTATTGACCCATGGAATGCAATGTTGAGAGGTTTATGTTTCATGTGGGTCATCTGTAGTCTTTTTACTGATTTATCTTTATTGTCTTACTGTTGTGTATCTAAGGTATGTATACAAAGTTAAATCTCCACATACATGACTACAGAATGATTGATTTTGCAACGAATGTTTAATCTTAACAACAAATTCTCCATTTCTTAGTTTATTCAAAGTTGGCATTCAGAAAACAAAACTTTTGGTGTATGAAATTAGGTTCTATTGCATGAGACATTGCAATCGAACAAGAAATTCAGCTAAATATAGTGGTTCATGACATTACCATAGTTTCAGATTTGGACTTGAAATCCTCCAGTAAAGAATTTACTGCCAGGTACACATAATCCTTAAACTCTTGAAAAGGAATTTTTTCACTCATTTTGGCCTGCAAGAAATAGCAGTATGTACTGAAATTGTAGTTACATTTATCATTAAAATAATAATAAAATACTTAAAAATTATAAAATAATATAAAAGTTATTTCACCTGATTTGAGAGAGAATTAAAAGCAGCTACAATTTTAGAAAAGTTTCCTCGGATTGCCTCTAGGCTGCACACATTTTCAAAATTTCGATTAATCATTGCTAATCCAAAAGCAGGAATACGACTCCCTCCTCGAATTGAACAAGCCAGTATTAAAACATTTTGTACAGCCTGCAAGAACAAATCTGATAAAAAAACATTCAATATGTTTCCTTAGAATTTTGTTAATGAATTACATTTGTAAGAAATACCGTTGCAGTACTGCGTATTTGGGTTAAAGTCATTGGATGTCCAACATCAAAGAGCAAATAATGAGCTGGTTGGCGGCTGAATGCTGCCCTAGTAACTGGCTTGTAACGACTCATAATCATTAACTTCTGTTTTGGTTAAAAACGTAATAAATTGATAAAAACTATGGGCTTGATTCCTAGTTAGTCGTCCAAACCATTCAAACTTTCCTCTTTTGAATTACGACAGTCACGTGTTATATTGTAGTGATGGCAGTGCCATCATCATATGTGGAGAAAAGATGAAGTAATGTCTGGAATCGACTGTGTGTCAGTGAATAATTTTGTGGTACAAACTATGAAAGAGCCAAATAATCCTCGCTTATTGTCGAGCATGTCATTTTCTTGATGAAGCTCTAAAAATTACAAGAATCGGCCTTTTCGTCTGTGGTCACCAATTTTAACTTGGGCCCCAGGTATTGGCATATTAAGTGATTGAATTTGGGTCTTTATCTTATACCTTTCTGGGTGAAAACCTCAAATATGGCTGCCACAATGGAAGCTGTTTATGTTTCCATTGTCCTCTAATGTGTTCGTGTATTTACAGAAATGGAGCTCCGAGTGGGGAATAAGTACAGACTGGGTCGTAAAATAGGCAGTGGGTCGTTTGGAGACATATACCTAGGTACGTAAGTCTTGTAATTTCGGAGGAAAAGCATTTTTGGTTGTTCAGAATTAACTCTTGTGAAAGGATGATGAAGCAAATGGTGCATATGTTGTAGGAACAAATATATCTACCGGCGAGGAGGTGGCAATCAAGTTAGAATGTATCAAAACACGTCATCCACAGCTTCACATCGAATCGAAGTTCTACAAAATGATGCAGGGTGGTGGTAAGTCGGGTTGATCACTTCATAGTTTTGGGTTTTTGCAGTTGATGTGCCTAAACATTGTGCAAAAATGACCTTGAACTTACCAATAAATCAATTATTGACATCTTTCATCTAATATTTTTCAGTGGGTATACCAACAATCAAGTGGTGTGGTTCCGAAGGTGATTATAATGTCATGGTGATGGAACTCTTGGGACCATCACTTGAAGATCTATTCAATTTTTGCTCACGTCGCTTTTCCCTCAAGACTGTGCTGCTATTGGCTGACCAACTAGTAAGAAACTGATAGCTATTATAGTGCAGTGATATCTGTTTTTATCCAGTTGACCTATGTCTCAGAGTCTTACATGAAAGTTCTGTATAGGTTGGTGAAGGAATAGGTCACTGCTCTTCCTAGCACTAGTCGGTGGTGAGTAGTGAGCTTCACACCACAGCTGCTTTTATCTCCACTCCTAGTATATTATTCTATTATTACATTAATGTAGATTGTTTTATTGTCATGTTGGACTGGAACATAACCTTTAATATCAATCAAGAGTGTGACTCTCAATACAGGGGTGCAAAATATCTTCCTGGTAGTGTTAAAAAAATGTTTACAGTGTGTAATTTGATGAGACAAAAGTATGTTTCTCAGAGTTCCATTTTTAATTCATTTCAGTTTTAGATTTGCTACATTATTCTTCCTTTGATACATTTTTCTGCAAGTAATTATTCATAAGTGCAGTAAAACTGAAACATAGGTTCATGTCAGCTTGTGTTGCAGTGTTTCGTATGGGTATTGTGATCATCCTTTGGCCTTTTAAAGTTTTTTTTTTGTGTTGCCCTAGCCAACAGAAGAAGTTAGGATTTTGGAGATTGATTATTACCCACCTGTGATATTATTAGTAATGGAAATAGAAGTTCTCTTAGAAGTCCAGAATGTGATTATTTTACATCACTCAAAAAATATATATTATCTTTGAAGCTGATGTGTTGTGGTTTCCTGTTTCAGATATCTCGGATAGACTATATCCATAGTCGAAATTTCATTCACCGAGATATCAAGCCAGATAACTTTCTTATGGGCCTTGGTAAGAAGGGTAATCTGGTATACATAATTGACTTTGGCTTAGCAAAGAAATATCGTGATGGCCGTTCACATCAGCATATACCATATCGGGAGAACAAGAATTTGACTGGCACAGCACGATATGCCAGCATCAACACTCATCTGGGCATAGGTTAGCATATTTAATTTGTCAGTCACATGCTATGATGTCTGTTATACAGTAGGGCCCCGCTTTACGGCGATTCGCTAATACGGCGCTCAACAGCTGAGTCAGAGAAGTGCATCCGGCGCCATTTTCTCGTCGCTGATTCAGTCTGTTTACAGCTTTTGTGCGCTGCGCGTCTCCGTATTTCTGGCAATTTTTCAGAGTTATTACAAACTGTATATTTATGTAATATTTTTGTGTTACTACAGAGTAATTACAAAGACGTCTAAGGGTAGTAGCGATAAAAAGAGGAGTCATAAGCCTCTTACTTTAAATGCCAAGTTAGATATAATTAAACTTCGTGAACAAGGCATGTCTATGGCCGAGATAGGACGTAAGCTAGGCCTAGCTTGCCAAACTGTTAGTGCCATCGTGAACGCTAAGGAGAAAGTGTTAAATGAAATTAAAAGTGCCACACGAATGAACTCTAAAGTCATAAGAAAAAGAGATAGCCTTATTGCTGACATGGAAAAACTTTTAGTTGTGTGGATTGAAGATCAAACG